CAACTAATCGGAAAAATCCTCCAGCATCGAATACACCAAACAGACAACACAGCACAAGTGCAGCACAAATGATCTTCGCCTTTAGTGGCGAAGTTGAGCTGCAGACATGCATTGCAGCATGCACCCAACAACAGTAGTGGCTGGATTGAGAGAACGATCGTGAGAGAGCAATCACTTCTCCTCTTATACTAACAATAAACTCCAAGTGGATTGTAAATGCTCCCCATCAACATAAACATTAGGTGGTGTTGTTGTTTTTGTTGTGGATTGTAAACAATACTCCAGCCCAGCAGCTCCACCATTCAGTTCAGTATAAGAGAGGCAACTACCTTCCGATCTTCATTCTCGTTTATAGTAGTGTTTGTGCATGTTTCTGTGCCTCATTCAAACCGTATTGTGCAATAATTCTGAACAATTTCCCTTTCAGTTGCTGTTTTACTGCTGAATTCGAAACGTCTGCTTCTTTCATACGATATTCTTGAAGCTTTTCAAGCGCGTAAACGATTTAATTTGAAATAATAGAAAAAAAAAATAAATTTTGTTTTGTGCTAACGACGGATAATTAATTAATAATTTTCTTGTTGTGAATATATGTATATTTTTTGGAAATATAATTTTTTTTGGGAAATTTGAAATAGAAATATAATTCTAAAATTGAAGAAAAATTAATATTGAATTCAAATGAAAATAAAAGTTTTTGTATGAGTGTGTGTGTGATATGTTATTAAAGAAGTGGATCAAATAAAAATAGTGAAATTCTAGTAAAATTGAAAATAAAAAAAGATTGATTGGTCGAATTTTTGATAAATTAATGAAATTGTGTAGTTGAAATATGGAAATTCATTTGTAAAATAGTATTTGAAATATTTAAAAATTTCAGTGGGCAAATATAAAGGAACCATCAACTCAAAAATTAAACCAAACAAATTAACATACAAATTAAAAAAAAACTAATAAAGTCAAAAACTTGAAATAAAAAAATATTTTATCCAAATTAAAAATGGATCAAATTGAAATCAAATTTAAAAACAATCATAGTAAAAATATAAAGAATAAATTAATTATACCAATTATGTAAAATTAATATTAATTTTAAAAATTTAAATAACTAAAAGTTAAAAAATTAAAATTGAACAAAAAATAAAAAAACAAAACATAAACTTAATAAATATTAAAAATAAATTATTTACGAAAATTATATACATTTTGGAACATAGTTGAAATACTTGAATATATCCAAATGTATCTAAAAACAACTAAACAAGTAAAATAATAACAAACAAGTAAAATAAAAAATATATATTTAAAAAATATTTCTTATAAAAAATTTAAAAAATTAAAAAAAATAAAAATTTAAAAAGAAAAATTAAAAAATAATAAAAAATTAAAAAATAATAAAAAATTAAAAAATAATAAAAAATTAAAAAATAATAAAAAATTAAAAAATAATAATAAATTAAAAAAAATAAAATATTGTTAAAAACTATTAATAAAAAATTAAAAATATAATGTTAACCAAAAAATAAAAACTTATTATGAACAACAAAAAAATAAATTATAAAAAAAATAAAAATTAAAAAATAAACAACTTAAAATATAAAAGATGAAAAAACAAACACAATTAACATTTTTACTTCTTATTTATATTAAAAATAAACGGAAAATAGAAATAATGAATAAATAAAGTACTTTCTAATATAACAAAAACAAAAAAGTAAATTAAAATTTAAAAGAAATAATAAAATATAAAAATTTACATTCAAATTTAAAAATACAAAAAATACTTAAAAATTAAAAAATAATTTTATATTTAAAGATATACATATTAATTTGGTGTTTTGATTTAATTGCAAGCTACACTAATTCAAGAATTTCCCAATAAAATTTCATGTGAAAATCTTAACAACCCGATTTTTTGTGGCAAGTGATTCTCTAACTTTAAACGCGTTTTTGGCGGACACGATAACTCAAAAACTAATAAAGCAATCGATTCCAAATTTTGACACGTTTGAAAAATTGTTATAGTCTTGCCATTTTTTAAAATAATTTTTTTCTCCTAGATGTTTTAAAATAAAGTTTCTATAGTAAAACAATTTATTGACTTACCTCTTAGCCAACATATGTTATTGCCTGTAAGAAAGAAGGGCAACCAAAACGAATTAAAAAATTAAATTCAACTAACGTTTAGGTTTTTTGGTGTGGCAAAATATTCAAACTATGAAATGCTATACAATTTTTTAGTTCATTTATTTGCCTCTTTTGTATAATTTATGTGGACTGAATTGTTATAGATTCTTTGAACATAATCTATTAACTTATATATATATTTTTTAGTTATTTTTGTTGGTGTTATGTATATGTTAGGATTTTTTATTAATGGAGGGACTTAGTCAAGCGATTGCAATGAAATTTGACATGTTATTCGATTCCGTCCAAAAAGTCTAAAGAAACATTGAAAAGTTCCGTTGAAAAAATTAATACTTTTTTATAAAATTTTAACCAAATTTCTTATTTGCTATGTGATTTTTTTTATTTCTGGAAATCAGGAAAACTATGTGTAAAAATGGCGAGCCTGCAGCACTAAGTTGGATATATGCTCACTTTTTTATCTCATTATCCAGTTTAAGTGGGATATTTTCTACAGAAGAAAAATTGGCAGATTCTTTAATAATATATAATGATATAATGGATGAACCCAGATCTATAGAAATAGAAAATTGACAATCTGAATTGATAATCAACAATATTCTGCATTTTTTCTGTATAAAAAATTGGTTCTGATTTTTCATACAAAAATTTTGGGTGACCATAGGCTTCATTTTTTATATGTAGACCAAATTTGGCATAGAGATTTTCTATACAAAACCAGTAAGGAAAGTAATAAAGTCGGACGGGGCCCACCACATTGGGTATATTCAACAGATGTAATCCTAACAGACGTCGCATTTGTTAAGGACCATTAACATGAAATTAAACATGTCATTCTACAACCTATACTAAATTTTGGTCAGATATAGAGTTGCTTCTTAAAATGGGAAAAAATTATGTAAATAAATTTAAAGCAAAATATCGAAATCTAAACCGATTTCATCGAAACTTGTCACATGTTAGGTTACACTTATTTCAGCATGTTTTGTGCATTCGGCCATGTTTTGAATTCTTCATTTACTTATAAATCCAAATTTCGTGCAAATCGAAGGATATATAGGGACTTTGGTGCACCATTTACATAAAAAGGGACGAAAATTTAACACACACCTTTCTAGACATAATTCAGTACGCTGTGCCAAATTTCGTGCAAATTGAAGGATATGTAGGGACTTTAGTGCACCATAAATCGGACGAAAATATATATGGGAGCTATATCTAAATCTGAACCGATTTTCACGAAATTTAAACACATCGTTCTAGACTTAATTCATTACGCTGTGCCAAATTTCGTGCAAATCGGAGGATATATAGGGTGTTTGGTGCACCATTTACATAAAATCGGACGAAAATATATATGGGAGCTATACCTAAATCTGAACCGCTTTTCACGAAATTTAACACACATCGTTCTAAACTTAATTCAGTACGCTGTGCCAAATTTCGTGCAAATCGAAGGATATATAGGAACTTTGGTCCACCATTTACATAAAATCGGACGAAAATATATATGGGAGCTATATCTGAACCGATTTTTCCCAAATTCAAATTCGTCCTTGAGCCAAATAAATGAGCTGTACAAAATTTCATCCAAATCGGATTATAAATGCGACCTTTACTTTGTTTACAATTTAACATCAACAGATGAACGTACGGACGGACATGCATAAATCGACTCAGAAAGTGATTCTTTGCATATTCTCAAAAAGAACCATGTGTCTATCTCGTTTCCTTTTGCCTGTTACAAACATATGTACAAAGACATAATACCCTGTACCACAGTGTGGTGAAGGGTATAAAAATGGCGGAAAATAAGCCTCTGGGCCGATTTCTAAATCGTTTACCCTTAGGTGGTGATAATGTCATAAATGTACCCAGGACGACACCTAAAACCTATAGGAAATAGCCCCACTATCGTTCACAATTTCGTGAAGATATACAAAGCCAAAAAGGAGTGGATATCTTAACGATTTATTTTTTTGAAGGACCAACACTAGAAATGGATGCTTGAAATATTTTTTTAAAACACAAAACAGCAGGATTGTTTAAGAAATATTCTTTACGGTAAATCAATTTTTCATAAAAAAATACAAGGGCCGCTGCAAGGCATGGATAGTGTTTTTAAAGATATTTTTGCCAGCATAAGGTTTGGGTGTTTAACGTGAAATAATTAACTCTTATGGTAAACTTAATATAACCTCACCTACATAACGGTTTATGTAGGTTATACAAATCACCGACAAATGAGGATTCATTTTACGACAAAAATTTAACTAAACGACAGATCCATTTTTTCTAATATTTGAAGTTTAATATTAATAAATTGATAAAAATGACAAAAAAGCCTATATCAAATAATACTGTCAAACGGATTTAAAATAATATCTGTTAAAAAAATCAACACCTAAATAAATTAGATAAAAAATGAACCCAACATTAAATTATAAAATTAACAAAAACAACAACATCAACAAAAACTGTGAACATAATTAATTAACTGCGAAAAGTGTACCCTCTCTCACATCAACAGCTGTCTAAAGGTCTCGCCGACTAAAAACCAAACTCAAAATAATTATGATTTGTGTTTAAAATTTAATTTCAAATTTTTTGTGTGTTTGTTGCAGTGGCATCCAATTCTCAAGACAAAATCTGTGTGTGTCTATGATTAATGCAAAACCCAAAAAAGAAGAAGAACAAGACGACAACTAAAAATTATGAACGTTTAACAAGTGTTTATGATTTTTAACGACAGCCAACAACAACGAAAAAAAAACAAATTACAAAAAAGAAACAACAACAAACGATTGTAAAACGACACCTGGACAACAACAATAAATAACAGCAACATCATCATGGAAAATAATTACAAATTAACAATTAACACAACAACAAATGCCGAACAGCATCGTGGTTCGGTGTCATCGACAAATTCATTAGAGGTGCCAGCAACGCCAACGCGTTCACCGAAAAAAGTGTCATTTTCCGATGATTTGCCCTATGACAACAACAATGGGGGTGGTGGTGGTGATAAAACAGCCAACAACACAAACAATCAACAACATTATAACTCCAACAGCAGCAACAACAATAACTACAACCAACAATTGATGTCAAAAACAAGTGATAAAATGATTAATAGTCAAAATCAAAATCTCAATAGTACAACTACCTCGGATCCGCAACAGAAAAATACCTCAGCAACAATGGAACAGCATCATAAGGTGGAGTTGAAGTTGGAGGGGGAGAAGGAGAAGGATTCCCCACAAAATCCCGTGGAGTTCATGTTAGTTCAGGCTGCACAGTATTTAGAAAAAATGCATGCTCCCGCCGCTGCTAGCCTACACGAATCTCAGAGTAATAAAAATCAGGCCAACGATAGCCATAAGTTTAAAAGTAGTTTAAATATAGATTTAGTTGATGGTGGTAATCACGAAAACTCAGGAAATAAATCCACCGTAGCTCCAACAACCCAACCTACACCAACAACAACATTGTCGTATACACCTCCCTCTCCGATACCGGCTGTATTATCTTTGACTTCACGTTCTGGCTCCGTATCACCCTCTGGCCTTTCCACACCCTCTACCGTGGCTGCTCGTTCCACAAAATCCACCTCGTCATCATCGGAATCCACAACCTCCCTAGAGCCACCCTATAAACCACCCAGATCTTCGATGATGATTCAAAATGGCAACAATTCAAATTCGAACAATCACCACCAACAAACCCCTACCCAAGCTAATACCCCTGCTGCTGCGTCTCAAGACACCTCCTCAAATATGCAAGAAATCAGTGAAGAACAAGCCGAACATGCCATCAAATACATGGAACGTTACAATCTTAATTTAGATAAGAATAACTGCAGTGCCATGGAATTGGAGGCGAAACGCGATAAAATCCGTTGGCTGTTAATTTCCGAATGTAGTGCCTTGCTGGGTGAGGGGAAACATACCAGGGAGGGGTTTCGCAAGCTATTTCTACAGGAGGTAAGTTCAGTAATCAGTATTTTAGAAATCTAATTTTAATTTTGAAAAAACAACACCTCCCCACTGCTCCTCTCTCTTAAATAGAGATCGGTTTTAAAATCATAAAAATTTTGAACTTGACTTAATGTCAAGATTTTGAATATCTCTCACTAATGGTTTTTTGTTGTTGTTAGTAGTTTTGATCTACTTGCCCTGCTGCTAAACATTTCAAATATTTATCGCAGGCCAGAGCCAAAGTGTAGCTAAACAAGCGTGTTATTGCTTTGACTCATCCATTAGTTGTGCCCCCCATGCGAACTTTATTAATATTAGCAACACGTTTACGGCGACGAGCAATAAAGTTTAGAGCAAGCAAATCGCTGAGGAATTACTTTCCAAAATATTTGTTCCGAAAAAAATTACCAAACAAATCATAAAAGAAATTTCAAATACAAATTTAAAAACCAATTCGAAAAAATCGAAAAAACCCGTACTCCACAGCGACTTTATCGATTAAAACGTTGGTTACTGAGTTCCAATCTTTTTATACAAAAAATGAGTAGTAGGGTAATTTTTTCCTATGAAAAAAATTGGTAAAAATAGGAACTGACTTCAAAAGAATTTTCTCCCTATGAAAGAAATAGAAACTGAGGCCCAGTACCAGAAAAACAGGTACTGAAGCCCGGAGAATTATTTTATCGAAAACAAATAGAAACTGGGGCAAGACAGTTTTATTCTATGAAAACATTTAAACAGGTCCGGACAATTTTTTTTCTCCGGAACTCTGCATGAACCTACATTGAAAATATTCTGGAAAGAAATATTTTATTCGCCATATATCTCAAATCCTTTTAAATATATAGACATAGTCCACATATATTATATATATGTGTCCACATATATTATATACATGTGTCAAGGCGTCAGAACTATTTTTTCTATAGAAAAAGGTCTACGGACCCCAAGACGGGTTTTTCTATAGGAATAAATTCTACGGACCCCAAGACGGTTTTTTTTTTATAGAAAAAAATTCTCTGGATCCCAGGACTGTTTTTTTATAGAAAAAAATCTCTGGACCACAGGGCGGAATTTTTTCTATAGAAAAAAATTTACCGGACCACAAAGACGGATTTTTTCTATAGAAAAAATTTTCCTGGCCACAGAACGGATTTTTTTCTATAGAAAAAAATTCTCCGGACCATAGGACGGATTTTTTTCTATAGAAAAAAAATTCTCCAGACAACAGGACGGGTTTTTCCTACAGAAAACAATTCCCGTTTTTTTCTGTAGAAAACAATTTTCCGGACCCCAAGACGGTTTTTTTATAGAAAAAAAATTCTCCGGACCGCAGAAACGATTTTTTCTATAGAAAAAAATTCTCCGGACCGCAGGACGGATTTTTTTCTATAGAAAAAATTCTCCGGACCACAGGACGGTTTTTTCCGTAGAAAAATATTCTACGTACCCCAGGACGCTTTTTTCTATAGAAAAAATTCTCCGGACCCCAGGACGGTTTTTATTTTGTAGAAAAAAATTCTCCGGACCTCAGGACGGATTTTTTTCTATAGAAAAAAAATTCTCCTGGCCACAGAACGGATTTTTTTCTATAGAAAAAAATCTCCAGAAAACATGACGGATTTTTTTTCTATAGAAAAAAATTCTCCGCACCACAGGACGGTTATATTTCTATAGAAAAAATTCTCCGGACGGATTTGTTTTTTTAGGAAAAAATTCTCCGGACCACAGGACAGTTTTTTTATAGAAAAAAATCTCCGGACAACAGGACGGTTTTTTTTTCTATAGAAAAAAATTCTCCGGACCACAGGACGGATTTTTTTCAATAGAAAAAATTCTCCGGACCACAGGACGGGTTTTTCCATAGAAAAATATTCTCCGTACCCCAGGACGGTTTTTATTTTGTAGAAAAAAATTCTCCGGACCCCAGGTCGGTTTTTATTTTGTAGAAAAAAATTCTCCGGACCCCAGGACGGTTTTTATTTTGTAGAAAAAAAATTCTCCTGACCCCAGTACGGATTTTTTCTATAGAAAAACATTTTTGACAACAGGACGGATCTTTTTATATAGAAAAATTCTTCCTACCCCAGGACGTGTTTTTTATATAAAAAATTCTCCGTTTTTTTCTATAGAAAAAAATTCTTCGGACTACAGGACGGTTTTCTATAGAAAAAAATTCTCCGGATTTCAGGACGAATTTTTCTATAGAAAAATTTCTCCGGACCCCAGGACAGTTTTTTCTATAGAAAAAATCTCCGGACTCCAGGACGGTTATTTTCTACAGGAAAAATTCTACGAATCCCAGGACGGTTTTTATTTTGTAGAAAAAAATTCTCCGGACCCCAGTACGGATTTTCTATATAGAAAAAAATGTTTGACAACAGGACGGATTTTTTATATAGAAATAATTGTTCCTACCCCAGGACGTATTTTTATAGACCCAAGGACGTTTTTTTCTATAGAAACAAATTCTCCGGACCCCAGGACGGATTCTCTTTTATAGAAAAAAATGTTTGACAACAGGACGGATTTTTTATATAGAAATAATTGTTCCTACCCCAGGACGTATTTTTATAGACCCAAGGACGTTTTTTTCTATAGAAACAAATTCTACGGACCCCAGGACCGATTCTCTTTTATAGAAAAATGGCCCTTTAGATTTTCGTCTGTAGGAAAAACATGGACTTGTGGTCCCAACTATTCTTTTATAGAAAAATCCTGGATCTCTTGTCTGGCGAATTACATATATAAAAAATGATTTTTTAAAGAAAAATTGAACCTTTTTTCACCTGTTTTTTTAACAAATGGGCCTAATAATCCGAGATTTTTTATGAATTTAAATTATTTACCTATAAAATCCACTTAAAATTGCTTAAACAAAATAAATAAAATTAAGTCCAGCATAGCCGGGCATTTTTATTGTTGATCGATGATATTGACATCGGAAATAATATACAATAGTGGCACCTCAGCTGCTGCTAAACAAGTGTATGGAACAGAAATACAATGCCAACACCAAATAGCTATCGTGTCTTGTGCGACGACAGTGGTCAGTCAGTACAAACAATTTGCTGTTGTTTTAGTTAGTCCCAATGTTTACTTCTCTTCTCTTCTTGTGTTTTCGGACAGACTCCTCCATTCCGGGTACACCACTAGGCACACACCAGTCAGTCAGTCAGTCAAATGCCATCATCTGTTGATTGAAATCATTAAATATTAATGAACTGTTAGGCGATAATGTGCAGTCGCAGCCAAAGCCACAGCTTGAGTCAGTTTGTTCGACGGTCCATCCGTCCGTCCATCCATAATTTATTTAGTCGGCGGCATGGCGTTGAAAACCATGAAGTATGGAAGATAAAGAAGAAGAAATCTCAGCGGAAGATGACGAGGCCGAAAGAAATTTTAGCAAAAACCGATTAAATGTAATTTAAGAGTCGAGTCAATAGATAAACACCAGACAGCTTCCAATTGTTTTTTGGCTAATAGTTTAGCTGATTGTTTATGTGGTCGGTCCATTCATGTCTTAACATCGAATGGACTGATGTGCTGAAACCCCCAGACGCTGTGATGGTGATGATGCGGTTGTTTTGGCTAGTGCATTATTGATGACCAGCCATCATCACCACTGGCCACATCAGGTGTGGGTTATATGGCATACCCACCGACTAGTTATTGATGAAGATGCACCTCATCGTACACAACCCCCTTCTCTGTCTTACCCCTCGATGGCTCTCTCACGAAACTTGTAATTAAATGAAGATTTTATGTAAATGTTCTGCACCTTTTTTCTCTTTCTTAAATATCGTGGTGGTGCATGCGATGTAATCGTATAACACGATTATAAGGAAAGCATCAACATTTCATCGCCATAAATATTGAAAAACAACAACAGCAACTATTTTGAAAACGAACAGAAATGCATTAAAACGGAATATTTACTCCAGTGCATATGGAAATTAGCCCAATCACCGATGATGAACAGGAATTAATGTTGGAAATATGTGAAGGTCAACCACAACAATGTTGTTGTCAATCAATTGGAGAAACAAAGAAGAAGATGAAGAGTTGAGGGTATTGATCGAAGCGCAGAGAGATGTTATGTAATTATGTTAATAATGAGCTGAATATTTAAAATATAGAGACAGGTTTTTACAAGTTAAACATCGAAAAAAAAAATAATTTTTATTTTCCATTGGGAGTCCGAACGAATTTGTTTTATGGAAAAAAATAAGCTGGGGTCCAAACGATTTTTTCTCTGGAACCCAGAAAGGATTTTTTCTTTTCAATAAAAAAAATTCTCCGGACCCCAGGGTGAATTTTTTTATATAAGAAGATTTATTTTCCTGACAACAGGACGCTGTTTTACTATAGAACACCAATACGGTGTTGTTTGTAAGTTTTTTTCTATACAAAAAAAATAATCGCCGAACCCCAGGACGGGGCTTTTTATAGAAAAAAATTCGCTGGGCCTCATGACAATGTTTTTTTAATAGAAAAAAATCTATAGTAAAAATTCTCCAGTCACCAGAACGGGTTTTTTCTATAGTTCTCGGGACCACAGGACGGATTTTTTTTCCTATAGAAAAAAGTTCTCCGGACCAAAGGACGAATTTTTTCTATAAATAAAACATTTTCCGAACCACAGGACGGATTTTTTCTATAGAAAGAAATTCTCCGTACCACTGGACGATTTTTTTTCTATAGAAAAACAAATCTCCGGACCACATTCCAATTTTTTATTCTATAGAAAAAAATCTCCGGAACACATTCCAATTTTTTATTCTATAGAAAAAAATCTCCGGACCACAGTCCAATTTTTTATTCTATAGAAAAAAAAATCCCCGGACAACATGATGGATTTTTTCCTATAGAAAAAATTATCTGGACCGCAGGACGGATTTTTTTCTATAGAAAAAAATTCCGGACCACCACAGACGGTTTTTTTCTATAGAAAAAAAATTCTCCGGACCACAGGACGGATTTTTTTCTACAGAAAAAAATTCTTCGGACTACAGTACAGATTTTTTTCTATAGAAAAAATTCTCCGGACCACCACAAGACGGTTCTCCGGACTACAGGACGGATTTTTTTCAATAGAAAAGGACGAATTTATTTCCATAGAAAAAAGTTCTGCGGGCCACTGGACGGATTTTATTCCATAGAAAAAATTTCTCCAGACCACAGGATTTTATATATAGAAATTTTATATATAGAATAAAACACTTTAAATATATTTCACGTGTAAATCGATTTCTTACCACTGTACCAATGAGTGATAGGCGTGTGTATGCATGATCTGCTGCATAGCTATTGGATCATTTGTTGTTTTATAATAATTATGTTAATTTATAAATAAAACAATGGATGCGTATATATTGGTGTCATCTGAAAAAATGGTATACAATTTTTAAAAAAGGTTATTAACTGTAATTTCCAAATAATAACAACAACAAAAAAGGGTAATGTTCGACAACAGCCACGGGCAAAAAAATTCAAAATTTAAAAACCAGTACCAAATACCAATTTTGTTGTAATTTTATGCAGAATCGTGTGATCTTTATTTAACCGGTTATTTATTTTTTGCAATACTAATATCGAGCACAGTGGTTTCTAAGTTGCATGAAATATCGACAAAAAATAAATAAATAAATATATCCAATAGAAATATTACTAATTTTGAGAAATGTAGAACGCTAATAAAGCTGACGTAGATTATCTCTACTGTATTATTATTTTTTATATTTTTCGAAACACTGTTCCTTATTGTAATATCCAGTAAAAAAAATTAAATACTAACTTTGTAAAAAAACAATTTTTGACTTGCATACATTTTTGCATAACTTAAATGTTATAAACACAAAATATTCAAATTTTAATTTTATTTGGAGGTCCCTAAGGCAAGGTTTAATAAACCTTGAAATTTTTAATGAGAGCTAATATGTAGCAAATATAAAAATAATAAAGACAAATAGCACCCCTAAAGATAAGAATAATTAAAATAATTTAATTTAAAAAATCTGATAAAGATATATTGTAAGATTGGAAGGTCATATAAGATCCAATTGAGAAGGAAATCCATAATCAACATTACCCCCCATCTGGACAACAAATTGACCAGCAATAAATGTACACAAATTTACTCGCAATATATTTTCAATAGTTGAAAAAAACAGCAATACTTTGTTTTCCGCATTAATATTAGTGGAATTATTGTTCGGATGTCTTAACGACCAGTTGTTCCTAATATTTTCTCCACTGGTGGCTACCTAAATCTATTGTTTTCGGTCAATTAAAGAAAACACTAAAAAAATTAAACAATAGAAAAACATTAAAACTCGAGTTTTTTTTTGTTTTATTTGCAATTATTTGTTTTCAAAATTTATGGAAATTGTACTACAGAAGAATTTGTTTCAACAACAATAAGAAAAACAAAACCATGGACGACAAACGTTTAAATGGCAATAAAAATTGATCAACAAAAAATGTAAATTTCAGTTTAGAATACTAATTTTTTGCTTATCCCACGTATCAAGAAACGAGGAGGAGAGGCACTGTGTAAGAGGATTTCTACCTATTTTATAGATTAAGAATGTGAGCTATTCTATCTACAGAAGAGGGAAACTCTAATGAAGAAGGGAGCTCTATCGGAGACTGTTAAGGTGGCTATAGGCGGATATTCGACTGTTAAACTGACTTTAGAGACTGTTAAAGTGGCCTCAGACGACTGTTAACATGGATATGGACGACTGTTAAGTTGGCTATAGACGTCTGTGAAGGTGAATCTATGTAAATTTTAAGGATGCTCTAGATGACAGTTAAGGAGACTATGGGCGACTGTTAAGGAAACAACGGCGACCGTTAAGGAGGACTATATAATGTCAATGAGACTATATAGTTAAGGAGGCTATATACGACTGTTAATGAGGCTATAGACGACTGTTAATGAGACTATGGGCGACTGTTAAGTAGACTATACGCAACATTTAAGGAGACTATGGACGACTGTTAAGGAGGGTATAGACGACTGTTAAGGAGGGCATAGACGACTGTTAAGGAGGGCATAGACGACTGTTAAGGAGGGCATAGACGACTGTTAAGGAGGGCATAGACGACTGTTAGGCAGTCTATAAACAATATTAAGGGGGCTATAGACGGCTGTTAAGGGGGCAATATACGACTGTTAATGAGGCTATATATGACTGTTAAGGAGGTTAAAGACGACTGTTTAGGAAGCTAAAAACGAGTGTTAAGGAGGCTATAGACGAATATTAGGTACGCTATAGACAACTTAAAGAGGCAATAGGCGACTGTTAAGGAGTCTGTGGACGACTATTGAGGAGGCTATAAACGATTGTTAAGGAGGCTATAGACTACTGTTAAAGTGGCTATAGACGATTGTTAAGGGAGCTATAGACGACTGTTAAGGTGACTATATACGACTACAGGTGACAGTTAAGGATTCTATAAGCGACAGTTAAGGAATATTTAGGCAGCTGCTAAGGATTTTACAGGTGACTGTCGGCGACTCTTCGACGACCTATCAACTGTTAAGGAGGCTATAGAATACTATTAATGGAACTTAAGGCTACTAAAGAAGAGGTCATTGTTAGATAGATTATATTCTGATTTTAAGGAATAAATAGACTACTGCTACAATATAAGCAATAAAAGGGACTATAGGCTAAAATTGACTATAGACTACAGATAAGGAAATTATAGGCTACTGTTATGGAGACTATATGTAACTGTTAAGTAGACTATTAACTATTGTTAAGCAGCCTATCTATAGAATAAGATTATTTCTATCGGTAGTAAAAGTTCTGGTTCCAGTAGAAGATTTAAAGCTCTTCGGCCTATAGAAGAGCAGAATTTCTTCGATATGTAGAACAAAAACATTTATTTATATCAAAGATGAGCAGGAGCTCTTTGTATGTAGAAAATGAAGAGAAGAGAGCCCTTTTATCTATCTCATCATCTATATTTATATGTAATGTATGTAAAAATATATTAATCTAAATTTCGATATCATGTCCTGACATGTTTCTTGCAATATTGTTAATATATGTAATGTTAACATGTTCTTCTTCTTTTTTCTACCTCGTGTCATTGCAGGAATTTCAAAAGAAACTTTTCCATCTCTTCGATTTGGATGGTAATGGTTATCTGGTGCAAGATCGTTGGATAGAACATTTAAAAGGACGTTTGACGTAAGTTTTATGTTATCGCTTGATATTTGCATGAAAATGTTGCACATACACACGCACATGCTCACATTCACATCAGAGTCAGAGTCACATGCTAAACATTTCCCATTCTGATTTCTGTTTAATCTTTTAATGCATGTTTTACAAGTGACTTGACCAAATAACGCACTCAGCCACAAAAACACGAATTTTTACATACGCAGATATGTATGTTTGTAGATGATCAGCAAAAAGGAATATTATGTATTATATAGGTATGACAAGACTACGAGGGAATTTAGTGGAGATTTTCATACATTGTTTTGAAAGAAAAATTACATTGAACCGATATGAAGTCTGAAGAAGAACAAAGAAAAAAGGATAAAAAAGTCTATATGTAATAGCCAATATATCAGTTTTTATAATTCGTTAGAAGATAATATAGAATCAGTAACCTTCAAAAACATCAAAGGTAGTGGACCTCCTCCTAGTGTTTTCTTCTTATTAGGGCCTCATTTCCATATTAATTTTTTTATTTCTCAATTTGGCATCCCTATTAGGCAAATGACATGATTCCGGCCATGTTATTTTACAGAACTAACATACAATGTGCGACGACATAAACTCCACTGCTTTGGTGTTGAAATTGACGTGCCATAAAGACGAAGATGCCACAACTTTGTTGTTTAACAACATTTTTTGCTTGAAAATCAGATTTTAGATTATTGTCGTTGTTGTTGTGAATGTTAATTTTGTTGTTTTTGTATCTTGGTGAAGTGCAGTGAATGGTGTTGGCGTTGTCAATTGCTATTAATTTGTTGTTTGAGAATTCTTTGGTTAAGAATCACAATTACACCTACATACAGACATAGAATGGAAATTATTTATAGAAGAAGATCCTCGATCCACTGACGAAATATTCCATATATACAAAATATATTCACTAAATAGGTGATATTTTTGTATAGGACCTAACATCTACAGGAAGAGAAACTTTAAGCAAATGTTAAATTAGCTACAGGCTGCTGTTAAGGTGGTTATAGACAGCTGTTAAGTTGGCTATAGATAGCTATTAAGGTAGCTACAGGCTGCTGTTAAGGTGGCTAGAGACAGCTGTTAAGGTAGCTACAGACAGCTGTTAAGGTGGCTACAGACAGCTGTTAAGGTGGCTATAGACAGTTGTTAAGATGGCTATAGACAACTGTTAAGGTGGATATAGACAGCTGTTAAGGTGGCTATAGACAGCTGTTAAGGTGGATATAGACAGCTGTTAAGGTGGCTATAGACAGCTGTTAAGGTGGCTATAGACAGCTGTTAAGGTGGCTATATACAGCTGTTAATTTGGCTACAGGCAGCTGTTAAGGCATCTATAGACAGTTGTTAAGGTGGCTACTGTTAATGTGGTGTAGGCTACTGCTAATGTTGTTAAGGTAGCTATAGACAGTTGTTAATGTGGCTATAGATAGCAATTAAAGTGGCCATAGACGTCTTTTTAGGTGGCCATAGGTAGATGTTGAGGTGGCTGTAGGCAGCTGTTAAGGTAGCTTTATGAAGATGCTAAGGTGGCTTTATGCAGCTGTTAAGGTGCCAATAGGGGACTGTTAAGATTGCTAAAGATGACTATTAAGTTGGCTATAGATGAATGTTAAGAAGGCTATAGACGACTGTTAAGAAGGCTATTAAGGTGGCTATAGACACACAGAAAACTTTAGGTGACGGTAACATCGTCTATAGACGACAGTTATGGTGTCTGTAAAAGAGTATGGGCGACAATTATGGAGGCTACAGATAACTGTTATATGGTCTATAGGCGACTGTTAAGGAGAGTAAGGTGTCTATAGGCGAATGTTATGTAGTCTTTAGGCGACGATAAAGGAGACTATAGGTAGTCGAACTATGTATAAACATGTTTTTCTACCCTTATATAAGCAGACATGTTTATAATTAATGAATTTTAGGCGATGTGGGTCATATAACTATAGAAGCGTTTCTGATCTATTCCTTTACATATGTTTTTTTTTTTTTTTTTGAAGAACAACCTCCCTCTATATTCATCTATCATCCTTACCCACCCCTCCTTAAACAACCTCACATTACTTATGTTTACAATTTTGTACATAACTGTGTCATAACTAATTACAGCGATGACAGACAAATGGACTATGCTGAACAGCTGGAATCAGTGGCCTATGTTATTTGCGGGGAGAATAGCAAAATTACATTTAAAAATTTCACTGAAATATGGCATGCCCGTGGTGTAAGTATTCAAAAAAACCTTTTCAATATTAAATAATATTGTTTTTACTATTTTTTGTTTATTTATTTGTTGGCAGATCTTAGATAAATTATATCGTCTCATCGATAGCGATGGCACCAATTCCATATCCACCAATCAAATAATGGAGTTCATATCTCATTTAACCAATTCTAGGTAAGAAAAACAAAAAAATATGTTAGCAATGCCATATTCGAGATTATGGTGGTAAAGGGTATATATTAAAAAAAAAACTGAACTTGAAAGAAGACAAATCTGTTGGATAATAAAATAAAAAAAAACCATGTTAACAATTTACAATTTGTAAAACAAATTGATTTTTACTCTTACCCTTACCTCCCTCTTGCTCTTCTTTGGTATCATAGAAAATAATGTAGGAGCAAGAAAAAATGTGCGGTAAATGAAAAATATTCACATAATAACAACTTTGGAAAGAAATGTACAGAAGATTGCACAGTGGGTACCCAGCAATAAAAAGGATTGAAAATTGTATATACGGCTGTTAAGACTATAAGCGACTGTTAAGGAGATTATAGACGATTGTTAAGGAGATTATAGACGACTATTAAGAAGACTATTAAGGAGACTATAGACGACTATTAATGAGACTATAACCGACTGTTAAGGAGATTATAGCTGACTGTGAAGAAAACTATAGACGACTGTTAAAGAGACTATAGACCACTGATAAGGAAACTATAAACGACTGTAAAGGAAAGTTAAAGAGAATATAGATAACTGTTAACTGATCTGGAATTTATAGGTTACTGTTAAGGTGTCTTAACTATATTGTAAAGGGAATATAGACGACTATTAAGGAGACTATAGACGACTATTTAGGAGACTATAGCGACTGCTAAGAAAACTATAGACGACTGTTAAGGAGACTATAGACGACTATTAGGGAGACTATTTAGAAGACTATAGCCGACTGCTAAGAAACTATAGACGACTGTTAAAGAGACTATAGATCACTGTTAAGGAAACTATAAACGACAAACGATTGATGAGAGGATATAGATAACTGTTAACTGATCTGCAATTGATAGGTTACTGTTAGGAGACTTAATTATACAGGAAATGGAACTATAGACTAGTAGTCTAGTAACTAGGCTATTATTAAGGTGACTTATTAAGGCGACTGTTAAGAAGACAATAGGCTTGGGGACTATACACTATTGTTAATGAGACTCTTGGCAACTGTTGAGGTTACTATAGACCAATATTAACAGTACTATAGAAAATATAAGCTACTGTTAAGGAAACTAAAGGCTACTGTTAATAAGTATATAGGCTACTGGTAAGGAAACTACAGTCTACTGTTAATGAGATTGTAGGATACTGTTAAGGAGATGATATGCTAGGTTAGTAAGGATATAGGCTACTGTACTGAATCTACTTTTAAAGATTATTAAGGCTTGTTACTGTTAATAATAATCTATTGGTTAGCTGTTAAGCTTTATGCAACTGCTATTATCAGATGATCTCTTAAAGGACATTTTAGCTTTTGAATCATATTTTACCACTGTTCAATACCTGTCCTTACCCACTCTAACTACACATCCAAACGATGATGAGGACAAGGAACATAGAAAACGTTTCAGCACATGTACATACACATACGCACTCACATATTGTTGGCACATAAAAACGCTGACAAGAACAGGGAAAAGCAGCTATTAATCAAACAACTATGTTCCGGAGCTTAGTAATCTTTTAATTAATCTTTAATTTATTACTAAAGCTTAAATGCAGCAGCATCTGCTGCAACAACAACCTCAACTACAACATGTAATGGTCTTTCAGTTCGATTTGTAAGTCCAGGCAATAGGCAATAGACGAACAAGAACTGGTCAAGGCAATTTGTTGGAGGCTCTTGTTGTTAAGGCTCTTTGGTATTATAATTGTTGTTCCTGGTTCGTTACGTATTTTTATTATTATTGTTGCTGTTGTTGTTGGTGTTGCAGTATTTTACATTGCTGCATAAATTATTTATTTATTGTCTATGATGTGATGCTTAAGTTGGCTATTTGTTTTTTCATTCCTGTACTTCTCCTCTCTACCACTCTTTGTAGGCCTCGCACTGGCTTCGATAAAAGCTCTTTGGCCCGTTTGGAACAGCTCTTTCGCAATACTGTGGGAAATGAACGTGAAATACGACGTGAAGAATTCAAGAAAATTGTTATCTCCAAGAATGTAAGTCCATGACCAAAACCCAAGCCAAGCAACTCTGACCAACCACCATTGCGGGTCTTGTTGCTGGTGTGTTGTGTTTTTTGTAAAGGAATTTAATTTATTTACTGTTCGTGTCTACGGTGTGGTTTTTCTGTTTTTTTCTTTCATTGCAGCCATTCTTTACGGAACGTGTTTTCCAAATCTTTGACAAGGATAACTCAGGTTCAATATCATTACAGGAATTCATTGATGCCATTCAACAATTCTCAGGACAATCGGCAGATGATAAAATACGTTTTCTATTTAAGGTTTACGATATCGATGGTAATGTATTCATTTTGTTTATTTGGGTGGGGTATAAGTTTTCTTGGGATGTGTGGCGAAATGAAGGCTCCACATTTTTTTTATCGGGACATTGATAATTTAGAATATTTAATGGTTGTTCTGTGATAGAGAGCAGATTTTCAATTTGAATTGATGTCAATATTAGGATTTACAAAATATTTAAGAAGATAGGAAGGAGGCCAATGAAGACTGTCAAGCAGCCTAATGGCGAATGTCAAAAAGTGTAAATGAGGTTGTTAAAAATAGTCGGAGAAGAGTCAATAGACATATTTAAAGGAAACTTCAGGCGGATGTTAACTTGACAATAGGCGACTATTTAGTAAGCAACTGTTAAGGTGGCTATAGACAACCGTTAAGATGCCTACAGACCACTTTTAAGGCTGCTATAGACAACTGTTAAGGTGGCTTTAGGCAACTGTTAAAGATACTATAGGAGATATTAGACGACTGTTAAGGATAATGTAGACGAATGTTAGGCGACTGTTAAGAAGGCGACTGTTAAGGAGGATATAGACGACTGTTAAGGAGGCTATAAACGACTGTTAAGCAGACTATAGACGACTGTTAAGGAGACTATAGACGACTGTTAAGGAGACTATAGACGACTGTTAAGGAGACTATAGACGACTGTTAAGGAGACTATAGACGACTGTTAAGGATACTATAGACGACTGTTAAGTAGACTATAGACGACTGTTAAGGAGACTATAGACGAGTGTTAAGAAGACTATAGACGACTGTTAAGGAGACTATAGACGGCTGTTAAGGAGACTTTAGATGAATGTTAAGGGGACTATAGACGACTGTTAAGGAGACTATAGACGACTGTTAAGGAGACTATAGACGACTGTTAAGGAGACTATAGACGACTGTTAAGGAGACTATAGACGACTGTTAAGGAGACTATAGACGACTGTTGAGGAGTCTATGTTAAGGAGACTATAGACGACTGTTAAGGAGACTATAGACGACTGTTAAGGAGACTATAGACGACTGTTAAGGAGACTATAGACGACTGTTAAGGAGACTATAGACGACTGTTAAGGAAACTATAGGCGACTGTTAAGGAGACTATAGACGACTGTTAAGGAGACTATAGACGACTGTTAAGGAGACTATAGACGACTGTTAAGGAGACTATAGACGACTGTTAAGGAGACTATAGACGACTGTTAAGGAGACTATAGACGACTGTTAAGGAGACTATAGACGACTGTTAAGGAGACTATAGATGAATGTTAAGGGGACTATAGACGACTGTTAAGGAGACTATAGACGACTGTTAAGGAGACTATAGACGACTGTTAAGGAGACTATAGACGACTGTTAAGGAGACTATAGACGACTGTTAAGGAGACTATAGACGACTGTTAAGGAGACTATAGACGACTGTTAAGGAGACTATAGACGACTGTTAAGGAGACTATAGACGACTGTTAAGGAGACTATAGACGACTGTTAAGGAGACTATAGACGACTGTTAAGGAGACTATAGACGACTGTTAAGGAGACTATAGACGACTGTTAAGGAGACTATAGACGACTGTTAAGGAGACTATAGACGACTGTTAAGTAGTCATGAGCTTCTGTTAAATATACTATAAGCGACTGTTATGTGGACTATAGGTGACTGTTAAGTTTACTCTGAGCGAATTTTAATCAGACTGTAGACTATGCGACTGTAAATTAAACTATACAGGACAGTTAAGCAGACTATGGACAATTGTTAAGTGGACAATATGTCACTGTAAGTGGATAATCCACTGTTAAGTGGATAAAAGACCCCTGTTAAGTGGACTATCTATAGTTAAGTGGACCACTGTTACGTGGACAAATGCCGCTGTTAATTGGAGAATAGTCCACTGTTAATTAGACAATATGATACTGTAAAGTGGATAATAGCCCACTGTTAAATAGACAATATGCAACTGCCAAATGGACAAAAGTCGACTGTTAAGTGGACAATACATGCCACTGTTAAGTGGACAAAAGGCCACTGTTAAGTGGACAAAAGGCCACTGTTAAGTGGACAAAAGGCCACTGTTAAGTGGATAATTTGCCACTGTTAAGTGGACAATTTGCCACTGTTAAGTGGACAATAGGCTACTGTTATGTGGATAATAGGCCACTGTTAAGTGGACAATAGGCCACTGTTAAGTGGACAATAGGCCACTGTTAAGTGGTCAACATATTGTTACGTTCTTGGATTTTACTTAATCCCGTGTAGACGTTGTTTTATTTCCCAGTACAGTTCGTACTAAATAAAACGCGGGTTCTTTATGATAACGAATATTACAATCATTTTATTGACACAACTTTACTTGACGGTTTCAATTCGCGATCTGATTCACCACTGACTAACTGCCTTGCCATTCCCCCTATATATATGAGCCCTGCCTGTCGCTACAGAAGTTTCTAGACGATCTGGTAACACCTAGATTTCGAAAAATCTACCAATGCAACAAACACATACAAACTTACATTGAGTGAACAATGACAACAACACATATACAGGCGAGGGAGTAAAGAGGAATTAATCGAGCATCAATGATGACGTTTAACAAGAATTGTACGTCAACAACAAAATAGAAAATGAAAGAGGAAATGGAAGGATGTAGAAAAATCTATACAGTAGTTGTTGTGAAGTTATTCTAATAAACTGCGTAGTAGAAATTTACGTTACAATTCAAATTCTTAAATTAACGGAATTCATCTAAATTAACTTAAATATAAAGTTATATTCGTAACAATATCAATTTTAAGTGGACAATAGGGGTCTGTTAAGTGGACTATAGAGGATCGTAAAGCAGTCTATATGCGAATGTTAAGTGGACTATAGACGACCGTTAAGCATACTATGGCTACTTTTAGGGTGTCTACGATATGAATGTAGGGTGAATATATTAAGCCTAAACATATTTATCTTCCTTCAAAATAAATTTATGAAACTTATCAATGTGAAAAGGATTTTATAATATTTTTACACACATACCCGGTCGACTAATCGAACATGTTCCATTTAAATTATGTTTATGACAACTGGTTTCCCAATTTAGCTTACAAAACTATTCAAACTGACCTTGGCGAACATTTTAACATAAAAATTCAAGTTTTTTATTTACAAAGGGGAATTTCAAGCCAAAAAAATAAAGGAGAAGAACAGAAATAATGTCCTCGCTATACATTATTGTCTTACCCGGCTAGGCGGCTTGATATTTGTTAAGAGCTTTATGCCAATGCCAATAGTTTCGTAGTTGTTGTTTTTCTCTCTCTCTTTTTTAACGAAGACGATTAACCACTTATTGATTTATTACTTAAGGTGATGGTCTTATACAGCACAAGGAATTGCATGATGTCATACGTGCCTGCATGGAAGAGAATGGCATGGAATTCTCTGAAGATCAGGTAAACACAAAGCACAAAGCAAATAATAATAAAAATGATTTATTTGTAAGCACAATTTTCGAATTCGTTGATCATCTTTCCAATTGACTAAGCCATTACTAAAAAACAATGTGGCACAATGGACAATTGGAAATGGCCAAGAAACAACAATCATCAATGATAATAAAAAAAAACATTATTTCCCATTCCTATACTTCCTTTCTTTTTTCTGTGTGTGTCCGAACCGGCTGCAAACCTTCAAAGATTGAAGATCTAACAACGGCCATGTTTGAAGATGCCGATCCATACAATCGTGGCGAGATTACTTATGAGGCTTTGAAAAATCAATTACACAAACATGGTGGCCTGCTGGAGAATCTAAGTATAACGTGGGTAGTTATGTGACTCGCGGAAAAGTATTGGAGATTAATTAAATATTATTGTGTTTGGTTTATAGAATTGACCGTTGGCTTGTGCCAATGGCCCAGGATCCACAGGCTGGCAAGACGAAATCGAAATTATGGAATTCCATACCAATTCCACATCAATTGACACCGGCCTACATGAAAAATAATCATGTCTTTGTGACATATCTCTTCGTGTACATAGCTATAAATGTGTGTTTGTTTGTATCAAGGGCTATACAGTATAGGGCGAGTAATGGATTTGTTATTGTGGCAAGGGCATGTGGTATGTAAAAGTCAACAGAAAAAAAAAAATATAACCAGCAAAAGTGTCCTCAGGGATCTGAAGATTTTTTCTACGGAAAAAAGTTTTGTCAGTGACCTCAGGATGTTTTCTATAAAAAGTGTCCTCAGGACCTAAGAAATTTGTTCTATAGAAAAAAGTATCATCCGGGGTCTTTGGAATTTGTTTCTATAGAAAAAAACATCCTTAGGGAGCTGAAGAATTTATTTAAGAATTTATTTATTTAGAATAAAGTGTCGTCAGGCACCTTAATATTTTTTTCTACAGAAAAAATATCTCCTAAGAGACTTTAGGATTTTTTCTGTAGAAAAGTTTCCTGAAAAAAGTGTCCTCAGATCTTTTTATAGTAAAAATGTGCTCCGTAATCTTTTTCTATAGACCATAAAATAAATATTTTCCTCTTTTCAGGACAATGTTTGAATTTCAATTGTGCCTGGATATTGGTACTGATGTTACGCCACTCTCTAACATATTTACGTTCCCGAGGCCTATCCACCTATTTGCCATTGGACAACCACATTTATCTACACAAACTCACGGGCATAGTGATATCGGTATTGAGTCTCCTGCACACCATAATGCATCTCTTTAACTTTTCCATAATTGTGGTTAATGATCCACAAATCAATGCGGGACACTATACCATAGGAGAATGGCTATTGACCGATCGTCCTGGATTGTTTGGCCTAATACCCGGCTGTGCTAATCCTACTGGCATGGCATTATTTATTATTCTCCTCATAATGTTCATTTGTTCCCAACCGTTTGTGCGTCGCAAGGGTTCCTTTGAGGTTTTCTATTGGACCCATTTGCTGTATATACCCTTCTGGATATTGGTGCTGTTCCATGGTCCGAATTTTTGGAAATGGTTTTTCATCCCTGGCATTATTTACACGGTGGAGAGAATTTTACGTTTTGTATGGATGCGTGGTGATCATGGCAAAACCTATATTAGCTCAGGGTTGCTACTGCCCTCCAAGGTCATACATTTGGTTATAAAACGTCCGAATAATTTCCATTTCCGTCCGGGGGATTATGTCTTCGTAAATATACCCGTAATAGCAAACTACGAATGGCATCCATTTACGATTAGCTCCGCTCCGGAACAGGAAGATTATATGTGGCTGCACATACGCACAGTGGGTGAATGGACCAATCGTTTGTATCGCTACTTCGAGAAAGAGCAACAACGTCTACACAATGGTGAAATTATAGCCCATAAGCAGGCCATACCCACCTCAAGTCTACTACAGATTAGTGAAGAAAACTCCAAAACCACATCTCCCACTCCACAGACAGATTTTCTAGCTCAAAATCTTGCCAAAATTCAGCATAGCTCCAGCTTCGATTCTAATATGGTGGCGAAAACTTTACAAGATGTCCCGACGAACCCGATTAGACCACCACGCCATAATTATACCCCATCAAAATTGGCCACAGAGAGTATCACCGCAAGTCATGTTGCCGAACAGGCCCGCAGCAGTAATGGCAGTAGTGGTGATCGTATACGAAGCTTCAAAAAAACTCTACAGAGGACATTTTCCCGCAAGGATCAGGCGTCGAAGGAGAAACGTTTATCTGGCCATTCCAATGATGGTTTTGTAACGGATGACAGTGATATGGCCGGAACTACGGAATTAGGTAAACGCCGAAAATTGGCGAAGTTAATGGGAGAGAAGCCTCCGTTGGAGAAAAGTGTTTCGCTGCCGGATATTGGAGTCAAAACGAAGAGGAGAGAAAGGTTTAAGGCGTGAGTATTACATTGGACTGTAGACTTTCTCCTGTTCACTCCGGAAGACTTTTTTCTGTTTCGAAACATGAGGACTCTATTTCTATAGAAAACAATTCTGCAGGTCCAGAGGATACTTTTTTCGTTAAAAAATAATATTCTCAGGTGCCTTATATAGAAAAAATTCCAAGGGTCCCTGAGGACACTTTTTTCTATAGGAAAAAATTCCGAAGGAACCTGAGGACACTTTTTCTATAGAAAAAAATTCCGAAGGTCCCTGAAGACACTGTTATTCTATAGAAAAAGTTCCGAAGGTCCCTGAGGACACTTTTTTTCTATAGAAAAAAATTCCAACGGTTCCTGAGGACACTTTTTTCTGTAGAAAAAAAATCCGAATGTTCCTGGGGACACTTTTCCATAGAAAAAATCCTTTTGGGATAATTTTTATTGGTCATAAGCTTCTCAGATCTATTTAAAAAATTGTCATCTGCTTAATATAGGTTACATACATTGGGCCGTTCTGAATCGGAACGCTCATTCGATGAGACACGCATACGTAGAGCAAGATTACAAAGCCTCGGCTTAGCCTATATGAGTCCACAAAATAAATCTCTGGCCCAGAGTTTCCGTTATATGCGTAACAAACCCACCATCATTGCCTTCAAGACACCAAGTGTGGAGGAAAGTGAACCCGAATTTACGGCCAAACAAAATCACTCGGCACAGACATATAATGCCATACAGGCGGAGGAGGGCAGAGTGGCAACAACAGGTTAGAATTTGGAGAATATTTACTTATTAGAAAATTCATAATTTATTTAAATTCCAGATCTTACCACCACCAACAAAGATAGCAATCAGGAAGATGCCGATTATGTGGTATCAAAACCGTTGGAGGTAAGATTACTTAATTTAAGTAATTTTTAAGAAATTATTCTTTTCATAAAAAAACTCATTTTTACAAAAACACTGATATAATGCCAAACAAAAACCAACTAACTTCTTTTAAAAAAGATTGAAATTTGAAAATTAAACTGCTGCTACACAACATTTCATACAATATTTGTAGGACTACACCAACCATCACAACAACAACAATAAAGCAAGTACAACTACAACAACAAATAACCGAGTAGGACGTTTTCGGCGTCCTACATTTTTGCGTTCATTATCAACCTCCATTAAAAATCGTGGCAGTAGTGGCAGTATACCCGCCAATGGTACAACTAACTCGGGTGGCAAGGTTACACTTGATGCTGGCGTGTTAGAGGTTTGGGTTTTATTAGATATATATTTTATTAAAAAAATTCTTAGCGAATATTGAAACCCTATTTAACAATTTTCTTTATCACAAATTAGATATTCATTGATGGTCCGTATGGTGCCCCCTCATCCCATATCTTTATGGCCCAGCATGCGGTGCTAATTGGTACGGGTATTGGTGTCACACCTTTTGCTTCGATTCTGCAATCAATTATGCATCGTTATTGGAAGGCCCGCCATCATTGTCCACGCTGCCTATTCGAATGGGCCAGTGATATACCGAAATCGGTTATGAATCTACGTAAAGTAGATTTCTTTTGGATAAATCGAGATCAACGTTCGTTTGAATGGTTTGTCAATTTGTTATCGCAATTGGAAATTGAACAGGCGGAATTGGGTGGTGCCATGGAAAGGTAAGGGGGGTTTTATGAAAGGACACTAAATGTTATTTAATTTTACGTTTTTTCTAATTACAGATTCCTCGATATGCATATGTATATAACTAGTGCCCTGCAACGTACCGACATGAAGGCTGTGGGTCTGCAATTAGCCTTGGATTTGTTGCATGAAAAGGTAAATTTGTTCGCAAAAATGATTTCAAAAGATGAAATTACCTCCACTGAGGATTTTCTATAGAAGGGGGCCTTCGCTATTTTCTTTTATACAAAAAAGTGACCTAAGACACATTTGGATTTTTTTCTACAGAAAAAAGTGTCCTTAGGGGCCTTCGGAATTTGTTTCTATAGAAGATAGTGTCCTCAGGGACCTTCGAAATTTTTTTTCTATAGAAAAAAGTGTCCTCAGGGACCTGTCGGAATTTTTTTCTATAGAAAAAAGTGTCCTCAGGGACCTGTCGGAATTTTTTTCTATAGAAAAAAGTGTCCTCAGGGACCTGTCGGAATTTTTTTCTATAGAAAAAAGTGTCCTCAGGGACCTTCGGAATTTTTTTCTATAGAAAAAACTGTCCTCAGGGACCTTCGGAATTTTTTTCTATAGAAAAAAGTGTCCTCAGGGACCTTCGGAATTTTTTTCTATAGAAAAAAGTGTCCTCAGGGACCTTCGGAATTTTTTTCTATAGAAAAAAGTGTCCTCAGGGACCTTCGGAATTTTTTTCTATAGAAAAAAGTGTCCTCAGGGACCTTCGGAATTTTTTTCTATAGAAAAAAGTGTCCTCAGGGACCTTCGGAATTTTTTTCTATAGAAAAAAGTGTCCTCAGGTAACTTCGGAATTTTTTTCTATAAAAAAAAGTGTCCTCAGGGACCTTCGGAATTTTTTTCTATAGAAAAAAGTGTCCTCAGGGACCTTCGGAATTTTTTTCTATAGAAAAAAGTGTCCTCAGGGACCTGTCGGAATTTTTTTCTATAGAAAAAAGTGTCCTCAGGGACCTGTCGGAATTTTTTTCTATAGAAAAAAGTGTCCTCAGGGACCTTCGGAATTTTTTTCTATAGAAAAAAGTGTCCTCAGGGACCTTCGGAATTTTTTTCTATCGAAAAAAGTGTCCTCAGGGACCTTCGGAATTTTTTTCTATCGAAAAAAGTGTCCTCAGGGACCTTCGGAATTTTTTTCTATAGAAAAAAGTGTCCTCAGGGACCTTCGGAATTTTTTTCTATAGAAAAAAGTGTCCTCAGGGACCTTCGGAATTTTTTTCTATCGAAAAAAGTGTCCTCAGGGACCTTCCGAATTTTTTTCTATCGAAAAAAGTGTCCTCAGGGACCTTCGGAATTTTTTTCTATAGAAAAAAGTGTCCTCAGGGACCTTCGGAATTTTTTTCTATAGAAAAAAGTGTCCTCAGGGACCTTCGGAATTTTTTTCTATAGAAAAAAGTGTCCTCAGGGACCTTCGGAATTTTTTTCTATAGAAAAAAGTGTCCTCAGGGACCTTCGGAATTTTTTTCTATAGAAAAAAGTGTCCTCAGGGACCTTCGGAATTTTTTTCTATAGAAAAAAGTGTCCTCAGGGACCTTCGGAATTTTTTTCTATAGAAAAAAGTGTCCTCAGGGACCTTCGGAATTTTTTTCTATAGAAAAAAGTGTCCTCAGGGACCTTCGGAATTTTTTTCTATAGAAAAAAGTGTCCTCAGGGACCTTCGGAATTTTTTTCTATAGAAAAAAGTGTCCTCAGGGACCTTCGGAATTTTTTTCTATAGAAAAAAGTGTCCTCAGGGACCTTCGGAATTTTTTTCTATAGAAAAAAGTGTCCTCAGGGACCTTCGGAATTTTTTTCTATAGAAAAAAGTGTCCTCAGGGACCTTCGGAATTTTTTTCTATAGAAAAAAGTGTCCTCAGGGACCTTCGGAATTTTTTTCTATAGAAAAAAGTGTCCTCAGGGACCTTCGGAATTTTTTTCTATAGAAAAAAGTGTCCTCAGGGATTTTCGGAATTTTTTTCTATAAAAAAAAGTGTCCTCAGGGACCTTCGGAATTTTTTTCTATAGAAAAAAGTGTCCTCAGGGACCTTCGGAATTTTTTTCTATAGAAAAAAGTGTCCTCAGGGACCTTCGGAATTTTTTTCTATAGAAAAAAGTGTCCTCAGGGACCTTCGGAATTTTTTTCTATAGAAAAAAGTGTCCTCAGGGACCTTCGGAATTTTTTTCTATAGAAAAAAGTGTCCTCAGGGACCTTCGGAATTTTTTTCTATAGAAAAAAAGTGTCCTCAGGGACCTTCGGTATTGTTTTCTATAGAAAAAAGTGTCCTCAGGGACCTTCGGAATTTTTTTCTATTGAAAAAAGTGTCCTCAGGGTCTTTCGGATTTTTTTTCTATAGAAAACAATGTCCTCAGGAACATTCGGATTTTTTTTTCTACAGAAAAAAGTGTCCTCAGGAACCTTCGGAATTTATTTCTATAGAAAAAAGTGTCCAGCCAACATATTTTCGTATAAAAGGCCAATTTTTTAATATATTTGGCAAGGGAAGATGATAAACATTTAATAAATCGTATATCACTTACCTTTTGTTATTGACAACTTGATTTCGATTTACTTGCTTGTGTTGATTGATGAGAAATGATTGATTGAATGGAATATGAATTTTCTGAATAGTTCGAAAAATAAAACATTGAAACTGAAAAGAAATATTAAAACAAATGTATATTCAGTTTTTCAATAATTTAATTTAGAATTAAAAATACACAATTCAAAACTACAATTAAAAAATATAGTTTTTCAAAACTAAAATTTAAAGGATCCGAACAATCTATACTCTCACAAAGAGTATAGATAACAAAAACCTATTCCTTGTTATTTTATCTTTTTTTATTTTTTATTTCATTTTAGGGTAAACGAGATCTAATTACCGGCCTGAAGACCCGTACCAATGCAGGTCGACCAAATTGGGATAAGGTATTTAAGCAGCTGCAGGCCCAAAAGAAGGGCAAAGTAACAGTATTCTATTGTGGACCGCCACAATTGGCCAAAACATTGCGTATCAAATGCGATCAATACGGTTTTGCATTCCGAAAAGAGTGTTTTTAAAAATGGATATCTATTTTTTGACACATATGATGATACTCTGTGCTCTCACTCTATCTCCCTATCACTCTCATTCATTTTATAATAGAAATAATAATATTTATAATTAAAAATAAGTAACATTATTTTTTTTTTGTTTGGCATAAAACACACAAAGGTAAAAGGGCTTAAAATTGTAAAAAATACACACACACAATATTCAAAATTTTACTTATATTAAATATATAGTTAAGTATGTAAATTACTATTTCCATTATATGTTTGTTTTTTTTTCTTAATAATTTATTTGTTTGTCTTTCTTAAAGTTAAATATTTGTATATGTATATACATAATTTTTTTGTTGAATATATATCCTGTTTTTGTTTGTTAACTTATGTTATGAATTAATAAAAAAATAATAAAAAAAACGCAGTTAGTACTAAAAAATATAAAATCTTAAAATATAGTTTTTTGAAGTTAGTACTACAACAAAAAATCAAATCTTAAACCAAGTTCTTTTGATATAATGCTTCCTTCATAAAAAAATTGCAATACATTTGGTGTAATGTATATGGGGGTCTAGGACTGCAAAACAAACCAAATAATTACCTTCTATACACCTTTCACTTCTTCGTCGTCATCTCTTTGTCTGTCTTCAATTCCTTTGCCATATGGCAAAATTAATTGTAGTTGGTTGAGGCTTTCTTGCAATGGTAATTATTTCATCAACCACATTATCAACATTATAAAATTCTCGTAATTCCGCAATGGCCTGCTCCTCAATCTGGGTTAGGGCCAGCGATTTATTACGCACCCGTTCATAATATTCTTTTTGTCGTTTTTCTTCGGCTAAAATTTGTGTAAAACTATTTGACCCTGCTGCCGTGGGTGGTGATGTTGCCGTTGTTTTACTATTATTCCGCATCATATTGGCAAAGGAGGTGGGATCAGATGCACTACCAGTGGGTACCTCAAAATCAATATCACTTGGTGATTGACCCACTGTCGGTGGTACAGTACCCCAAACATTTTGTGGTACTGGGATTGTTTTGTTTTCGCTAATGGGTGCTCGCCATGATGCGGCATTTGCATTTTCCGATGACAAACGTTTACGTTGTTTTTGTGATAATTTTTCCCTGGGCGATGTGGTCAATTCCGCCAGATTTATATTGTATGATACCTTGGGGGTTAAGTCCTTTTCAGGTGAAATATCTTTTGTGGCTGCTGTGGGTAATTCTACAGATTTTTTAAGACTAGTAAATGCGGTGTTATTATTGCTGGTTGTTGTCACACATTCTTGCCTCATCAACTCATTCGTTTTTATAGCAGCCTCAATGTGTGGCATTGCCACATTTTTCTTTTGTTCCTTTTTGTCAACAACTTTTCTCCATGATTTGGCTTCTTCTTGCAATTTATTTGCCACAATTTCAGCTTCCTTAATTACTGACGATTTGTCATTGCCCTTTCCCTGCTCCTTCTCCTTATTTTCCGACATATTTAATGTTTCCATCATTGAGGTTATGGCCTCCCTTTCATATTGCCTGGTCGTTGATTGTTTGCTTTTATGTTCCTTATGTGCCTTGGATCTATTCATATAACAATATTTAGAATGTTCGTCCAAATCCATGCGATAGCTTAAATCCACCTGGAAATCTTCAACAAAACTCAGCAGGCATTCATCATCCACTGCCTCGGAACTGGGTGTAATCATTCGATAATCAAATACGTTTTTAAACATTTCTCTATAGTGGGCATTAATACATCGAATGGCTTCCGGTTCATAATTGTAAAGACTCCCTTGATGTAAAACGCGTGCCAAATTTTGACAAATGAAATCCAAACAGCCCTTACGCAACACGTCACAATTATACATAGTGGCAAATTCCAACAAATCACCACATTTTCTTATCGAAATTCTATCCAGCAATAGAATTTCACAAACCTTTCGCAGTCGTTCGATAAAGAATTGATCACAAAATACAATCATATTATAGAGGAAAGATTCACGATATTGTTGTTTACGAAAATGTTCAACATCTTGACTGTAAAGGAACTCAACAATGGCCAGCATATATTCATAGGGTACGGTGGTTAAATTAATTGTGCTCTGCTCCGCCCAGGTATGCGTAAACATCATTTCAAAATATTCTAAACGTGCCACAAGGATACATTTGTGTGCGGGTAACTCCACATTGTTTTCACAGATAATCCGTATATCGTAGAGATTGGGGAAGTCGGTATGGCGCAGGCGATTAAAACGATATTTCGACTTATCCACAATGTGTGGTAAATAGAAGGGACGTTGTTGTAAGTAACTGAAATGAAGTAAAATGAAAAGGAGTTAAATTGAAACAAATCCTGGAAGGAACAGTATACAGAAGAAATACAACATAAGTTGACGTTGTTGTAAGTAACTGAAATGAAGTGAAATGAAAAGGAGTTAAATTGAAACAGAAGAAATACAACATAAGTTAAAATATATTCGAAGGTTTTCCAATAGATCGCCAAAAGAGATGTACATAAAATACCCAAAATGTATTCTTGGAGGAACCCTAAAAAGTCTTCTCATAGAAAAGATCTCCTTTAGAATACACCAAAGGTATTCCTATAGAAGGCCAAAATGTCTACTCAAAAGGCCTTTGTTTGTAGAAAAACAGAACTCATAATACTTACAATTTCAAATAGTTAACTAAACTGGTAATATGAAATTGTTCCACAAAATTTAAAAAGATTTCGCAGACGTCAGCTAATTCAGCTGGGGCATCAGTGTGTAAACTACTTTGGATATCTTCGAGATCTGGAAAACAAACATTTAATAATGATCACAAAATTTCCTAAAAAAAATAACTGCCAACCTACCCTGCTCATTTGGCAAATAATTTGTATAGATAAATTTCAATATGATTTCAAACATTTTCGATGTTAGCAGCTGTATATTCAAATAGATATCCTTATCTTCATAAGCTGCAATCAATTCCTTTAGACCGGGCGCTCGAGCATGTATTAGAATTTTATGGGCGGGAAATTTTTCACCATCTACATGAAATAGTAAATCATGTATTCCATCATACTCCGATACATCATGATATAGCTTTTTAAATGTATATTCTTCGGGGCTGAGGGTGGGCAATTTAAAATATTTCATTGCAGATTCTTGAAGGCAGGCAAAAGATGCAAAATCATCATCACAAAATATATCAACAGCACGATCAATTTGTTTGATATGTTGCAAATCAATACGAATCATAAAATCTTTGGCCATTTCCGATGAACGATAGTCGCTGCGTGACCAAATATTTCCCAAATCTTTTGATTGTCCTGATGTTTCGTCAATGTTATAATATGGTGGCAGTGGTACTTGTTGGGATTTGCCTTTGTAAACATCTCCCTGGGATAAAATTAGAACTTGATTGCCTTTGTACAAGATTTTGTCAATTTGTGTTAGACGTATGTTGGAAAAGGAACATCTGTAGTGTAGACAAAAAAAACAAATTATTTAAATGTTTAATTATTTTGAATTTTAATATGTACCTATAAAAGTTTTGTGTCAATTGATACCACAAAAACACCACATTGGTTTTGGTTAGAATCAACAATTTGAGGGCACTGGCAGTTCCCTTGTCTGACTTGGGATTATTGCCCTCAATTACAGCAACGCTTTTCAGGGATTCATAGCTAAAAACAGAATTGATTTATATCACTGTTATTTACTAAAGTTGTTAAAATTCTACTTACTTTGGTGACTTGATAACTTTCATTTTATAGTTGTGAAATAGTATAATATTATTGTCCTTGGTCACAACCACGGTGGCAGCATTACTAGTTTCAACAAATTGTATGGAAGTTTTGGCAGGTAATTTCATCTAAAAAATAAGCATTTTATTTATATATATATATATATATATATATATGTATATTTATGGTATCTTACCATTTTAGGAACGGGCACCGTTTTGGTATTGGCATCAAATCCCATCTGACCCAAATTTGTACCCCAAACATATATACATTTCTCTGAATAGGCCAGGGAATGAAAATCCTTCGCAATGACCCTCTGCAAGTCCTGGGCATTTTGATCTCTTAACGAGACAACTTCTTTGAAATTTAACAGTTTATCACCAGCATCACGTACACCCAATTGTTGATCTTCATTAAGACCACAAGCGAATACAAGGGAATGACTGGTCAGAACCAATGAATGTTTACGTGATACACTTATACAGGTAATTTCTTCTCCAGCGTTTTTCAGTGTAATTTTAACTCTTTTCGGCTCACTTAAAGTATTTTCATTACCAATACCCAATCGGCCCCCTTTACCATGGCCCACCGAATAGAGATGTGATTTTTTATCCAAAAATAAACTATGATAGGCACCGAGGGCAACGGATTCTATAGATATTTGTTCTTTTCGAAAGTAATCCAACATGCTTGGCAAATGATCGGGACCCAGATCATTGTTGACACCTAAATTGTAGTTCTTATTGGAACCCCATACGAGTAGTTCGTTGTTTGGTGATCTGAAATGGAGGGAATGCAAATTTAGAAATATTTGATTTTAAGATTTTTTAAAGAATACTTTTTTTATGGACCAGCAGGGAGTAGATTTTAAAAATTATATTTTTATGAAACAGCAGGGCGTAGATTTTTTAATTAATATTTTTTCATAGACTAGATTTTTATAAAGAATTTTTTCATGGACGTAGATTTTTACAAAGAATTTTTTCATGAATATTTTTTTTAAAGAATATTCCTTCATGAACTAACAGGATGTAGATTTTTAAAGAATATTCTTCATGAACCAGCAAAACGTAGATTTTTTAAAGAAATACATTTCACTTACGCTTTAAACTGTTTGGGAAAATCACACATTCGACAAACTTGTTGCAGTGGCGAGCGGGTATCCTCATCTAGAATATCAAGACTGGCACCATAACGCACCAGCAGATTGGCACAGTCAATACAACCATAAAATATTGCCCGATGAAGGGGTGTACTACCCGATTCATAGTCACGGCCACTGATAATGGCACCATGATTCAAAAGCCACTCTAATATGTCATAACGATCCACTGAAGCGGATAAATGGACGGCGGAACGGCCCTAGACACACAAGAGAATATAAATGAGAGAATAAAAATAAAATTTCAGGAATATCTGGCTACATACCAAATCATCAACAATATCGGCAAAATTGCAACATGTCTTCGCCACATATGCAGCCAACTTTTCATCGTCAATGGAACGTTTAGTAAGGGCATTGGTAATGGCATTTCCATGTTCACGCAAACGACAATTGCGTGTACAATCATATTCATAATTTGTTGGATTGAACATGACCAAAATCAAGAAAATATATTATCCCGTTTCGCTGGCTTCTTCTATTTTGCAAAAACACACACAACAGATACGATGACAGTTGTAATAGCAACGCCTGCCTACAGATTTGACGCCGTAAAAATTGTGAAGTAAAATAACCGGGGAAAAAAGAGACCGGATAAAGTTTGAGAATCAAAAGAGAATGATGGATGAAATGGGTAATCAAAACAAAATACGAGCAAATGTTATCGATAAAAAAACAGTTGTTCTATACAGTAATGCCAGATTCCCATGAATGCAACAAATACAAAACTACAAACGAAATGTAAAAAAAAATAAATAAATAAAATCAAAATAAATGACATCTAAAACATTATTAATAAATGTATATGCAGTCTATACATATATTAATAATGTTTTTGTTCTTCTATAATAGCGGACATGATCTACATTCTCTCTAAATAAACTATTTCATGTTGGTTCTGTAGTTCATTTCGGTGAACGAATTCGTTTTGAACGCCACTGCTTGTATTCTTCCTATGACTTGAATTCTAGATTTATTCAAGTTTTTCTTCAACAAAGAAATGAACGCCCAATTAAAATCCGACTTGGAAAATGCTCGGCAATGTCTGCTGGACACATATAACTTGGCATTGACATTTGGTGGGCCGGGTAAGTCAACGTATTTATTGAAGTCTTCAAATAATATGGCGGCGAAATGTTTGAAATTGAAGGACGAATGTATTTCTATGGACCAGCTTTCAGAGGTGTTTTTAAAAAACATTTTTAATGGACCCCAGCCATTAGCGTTCATTTTTTAAAGATTATGTTAATGGACCAGTCTTAAGGGTAGATTCTTTTTAACGAATATTTTTATGGACCATACATATCTGTTACTAAGAGAAAATGTTTTGGACTACTATTAATTTTTTCCGACAAATATATCTCTAATTGTGCTTCTATCGTTAATAGTATTTAATAAATTCTTCTAATTTCTTTATGTATTTCAGACACTCAAAATCCTGAAACCTATTTAAATTTAGCTGCTGATCTGTGTGTCATCAATGAACAGTTCAAACGACACGAAGCCAGCCTAGAGTGTGCCAAAGAAGCGAGAACCACAAGCGAATTTGTTGAAGAATATCAAAAACAACAACAAAACAAAGAAAATAAAAAATATAATGCAAAAAATACTAGCGAATTTAAAAACTTTCGTGATCAATTGATGCAAATAAAAAATCTACAAGATGAAGCTAATGCATCGGTCAGCGGTGCTGGTCAACAACGTGTGGAATGTGACGAGTTTGTAATGGAAAGTGAAATAAATGTATACGATCCGATAACGAAACAGCGGATGTCGAATCCTGTTAAGAATACCCTCTGTGGTCATCATTATGAAAAATGTCATATATTGGAGGCTATTAGCGTGAATAAACGTTTAAGATGTCCCGTCGCTGGTTGTGGTAATAAACAATTTGTCCAACAGCAACATTTGGTGGATGATAATTTGTTTAAGGTACGCTTGCAAAAAATGGCCGAACAGGAGGAGGAGGAGGAAGAGGAGTAGCGAGGGAAGGAGTTTGATTTGGATATTTGAATTGTTTATGCAGTTAAATGAAAATAATACTTTTATAAATAAATGAACTAAAATGTTATAAAATAAGCTTGTAACAAATATGTGAGGGCTGCTCAAGGCTGCTGCACAAATTATTTAGCAGTATTTTAAACAGACCTTTGTATTTATTTACTGATTTAAAGAACACAACAGATATCAACTAAAATTGCAGAAACTATGAGCATAGCATGTGATCTGGGACAAGTCTGAAATTTATACACACCGGTTACAATAAAATCTATCTAAAATAATCTATTTTGTTTTATTTTCGAATAAATTTATTGGTGATTAGTTGCATTATTAATTGTTCTTACCACTATACTTAAATTAAATCATCATGAATTGTTACTTTCTGCTGCGGGGCCACTCCCGGAACTACCATAATATATCAGAAGAAAAATTTCAATCCATGTCAATTCATCATCAATCGGCTTGCGATATATTTTGTGAAGCACTAATAAGAGTATCACGTAAATCCTTAGTACTCTGTATATGTACCCGTACCGTATTCAAGAATGTAGGATATGGCATGGGACCGGGATTATCTTGCAAATATGGTTCCGTACGTAGAGTGGTTACAGCACCGGGTATGTAATGTTGACTTGACGACAATTGTTGCATACATTGCATTGCGGTCTTTAGATGTAGTTCAATTTGATCACAATAGGCATAGAATTCTTCGAGGTGTTTATCAAATCGGGCCGTATGCAAAATGCTATCTCGCTTCAAATTATCGGCCATATTATTTTGCTGTAACGTAAAAGCAGCTCCACGAAATGTTGTTAGCAAGGATTCACGCATTGGTGTGAAGAGACACTTGACTTTGGAAATATTATCCAGTTTTTCAGTTTGTTGTTGCTGCTGCTGTTGTTGTTGCTGTTGTTGAGGATTTTGTGCCATTTGTTGTTGCTGCTGTGGCTGGGGTTGCTGCGGTGAGGATTGCATCAATGGCGAAACACCCATAGGATTTGGTCCAACACCAACTCCACCCATTTGTTGTTGCTGCTGAGGCATAGCATGCATATTCATGTTGGGATTCATGTTTGATGAATATTTGGACGGTGAAAATTCGGATTTTTTATTTTTTCCTCCGCTTTAAGACGAATGCTACAAGATTTTTGTTTTTCCACGATGAACTATTTAAAAGTTGTATTCACTGTAATGAACGCAAGGTCGATTAGTTCATTTTAGTGGATACCAACTATTCATTTATTCCGTTTTCTTTCTACGACTCAGCTGTTTCTGTCGCAGATGCCTTTTGTACGTTGATGTTTTCAGAGCAATAATCTTTCATATATATCAACATTGCATATAAAACGTTAAATTATGAATTCGAATATATGTTAATGAAAATAACACATTAAAAGAGAAAAGGACACTCAAATTAATGTATAACCATATACTGATCAAGGTTTAATACACCATGTTGTAGACAATCTTAAATGTGGAAGCTGAACGTTTCTGTAGGCTTGTTTCATATTCTTTGAACTCAATTACAGCGGACCACAATATATCCATTCTGTATGACTTACATCCCCCAAATGCTACCTGTGTCCTCTAATGATTTCCTGGATTTCGCTGGGACCTATAACGATAATCTCTCTCCATTGAAATAAAACACTGCTTTAAATACGTTCTGTATGTTTTATTATAAACACAAATAAAAATCCATTTCCATTTTTATATTCACTTAAAAAATTAATTCTTTAGAGTAGACGTAAACGGCAATTAGGAGCGCCACATTGACAGTATAAAACTTTACCGGGAACAACACCAACTTCATAATTATAATTCCATGTTAATTCAGTGCCAGCACGTATATTACAGGAGGCGAAAAATGCCACCCATGGGAAACGTAAATCATGCGTGTCGACAAAGACGTTCTGTACAAACATATTGGGCGAACACGAGTGCTGGAAAGCAAAAATAAAATAATTATTATAAATATAATGGTAAGAAAAAAAAAAGGAAAATTGCAGTACTTACATTAAAATAACGTCCCAAATTGCCAGATATTTTGGCATCCATAACATAGCAAGCCTCATCTTTGCCATAGAGTTTGCGTATGGAACTGTGGTGGAAAATGTAATGCGTTATGATTGTTTTTTATGCTTTGAAATTTAAGACTATCTTCTTTAAAACATATACTTACTTTTCCCGTACAGAATCTTCATTCATATCAGCATTGGGATTGAAGTTAATAACTTGTCTTTCTTGAGAATCTTCATTATTAGACGTTGATGATTTATTTTGTTTTTTTGCTCGTGTTAAAAAGGATTTACTTGGTGTAAATTCTTCGTCTAAATCGGGTTGATAGGGTTCCTGAAATATAAAATAATAGTAATCAGGGTAAATATTTAAGGTCTATACCATATATGTGTGATTTATTAGAGCAAAGATCAATGCATTATGTTATTGTTAATATTATTTCTTGGCCCTGTAGACCTTATTATAATTAAATGAAATAAATTATATAATAATAATATTACCTCTTCTTCAGGCTCTGGAGGTTCTACCTCTGATTCATAGCCTTCCTTAATTTGTTCAGCCACTTCAATATAATCCAATTCAGCAAAATACTCATCACCAGCATCTTGTCCTCCCTAGAAATAAGAACACAATACAATTAAATTCTAAGAAATATCCGAATTCCAAATTTGGCACTTACCTCATTTGCCTTGGCTTCAGTCAACAAATGTCCAGCATAAATGCAAACAAAACTACCGCGTGGTACATCGTTAATACAACGAAGACCCCATCCTCTATTCGATGTTTTGAATACTTGCAATTTAATTTGCAACGAATGTTGTACGACACGATTCAAACAATTCTGACGACATTTACAGCGTACGTTACATTCATAAATACCAGTAGGGACATGCTCCAACAATCGCTTGTATTGGTAACCCACCTCATCGGGTGGGGTATTTGGGTTACCATATTTGGCACCAGCCAATGTCAGTTGCCAGCAAGAACATTTCGATTTATCTGAGCAATCATCTTCACAATCGCAACCGACAAAGAATTCTGGATCCGTATTAATGTTAACACCCTCTGTCGGTATAACCTTGGCCGAATATTTACATTCCGGCGGCAGAGTGTTATCATAATAATTAACCAAGGGTATAGCCATTTTTTCTTGGCCATTCGATATGTCACGTTTCTGAACAATGGCACTGTCAATAACATATTCGGCCAAACAATTGATATCAGGACTAAAGTCGAAATTATCCACATTCAATGGGTTGTTTGTTGTGCGTAAATAATGACGTAGCTCTTTCATGTTACGCATGATTTTGCCACAGGGACCACGATATGTTACCACTTTTTTAATTTTTTGCCTTAGAATAAAACGTTCCCAGCCTGAGAGTAAGGGTTTTGATAATGGACTATAGGCACTCAAATTGTGAGTAATTTGTATGAGACACGCAGGAGAACATTTGTGAGGTTTATATTTGCGTGGTGGTAGATTCCTTTTGGCGGTATAATAAACAACCTGAAAGGGAGGATACGATAAGTAAATTAAATAAAAAGGGACATAAAAAGGCCCGTACCTTTCCTTTGGGTTTATTTTCATCTTCAAGATAAATTGTGGAATTATTCAAATGTTTAACTGGTGGTGCTGGCGGTTGTTGAATAGCTGATGCTGGAGTTGTATTCATCATGGATTCGGGACGTCCAAATGTTTTACGTGCCACAGCTCTATTGGGTTCACCCGTTTTCTCAGTTTGTTGCTGTTGTTGTTGCTGCTGCTGTTGTTGTTGTGCCGAAGATTCTTCATCTTCGGTATAACGAATAAACGGCTCTGTTCGCTATTCGCATAATAAAAGAAAATCAATGAAATTTCATACCAATCAAAATAATTATAATACTTACCCTAGACAATCTTGAAACGGGTAAGGCTGAATTTTTCTGTAGACTTTTTTGATATTCCTTAAAGACGGGACCCAATCGCAATGAACCACGATAAATCCATTCAGTATGACTTTTACTTCCCTCAAATTGCATAAGCACCAAACTACAATCGATATCAACAACACGGGCATGTAGCCAATAACCATTGGATTCAGTATTCATAGATTGGCCTTTTTGCGTCTGAACCATTGGACGATTTATGGAATATTGTGTCAAATATTTTTGTATAAAATCTCTGGATGCTGGGTGAACATCTTCCCAGACATTCTCGGAGACACTGCATACCAGACGCACATCCTTGTGGTAGACATATTGTGTATAACCATCATCATAAAATATTAAATATCTAAAAAAGAGAAGGAAGAAAATATTTTTATTCTTTAAAAAATGACAGATTCTCAGAAATGATTTTTTAAAAAAAGAGTTAGCAGAATATCGACAATTGTTTCTAGAGACATATATGGACCAAAATTTTTAAACTATAGAAAGTCCCGATAAAAATGGCAGAACTTGGTACTGATTTTTATAGAAATAATCGCACGATTTGGGGACTTACCTATACTTATTATTAGGTTTCAATGGTTCCGCTATAATACCAGGATAGAAAGCACTTTGAACATTGATTTTTTCTCGACCTCTTGCCAAAGAAGTGGCATCGAAATAGGCAATTACTCGGGTACCTTAAAAATAAATTCGATTAAATAAATACATATAATACTTCACAAAATCCGCTACTAACCAATTGGCAAGCGAACAGTTGGAGGATCATAGTATGCCAAATATTTTGATGGTACAGTTTTCAAAGTTGTATTTTGAGCTTTAAGAAATTTAATTCTATAATATTTTACATTCTTCGCTGCCAAGTTTCCACCTTCAACATACTCCACCACCTTACATGGAACCCAACTGGCAATGGCATTATTTTTCACAGCATAATAGGTGCCATTTAGTTGTATGGGTGGTCTTTCTATTTCACCCACCGGAGGTATGGGCTGCAGAAGAAAACAAATCTTAGTCTCTAATAAAAAATTTGGAAAATAAAATGTACCTGTACCTCAGGCTGTATTGCATCTAAGCCCATAACACGACCACTATTTAAATCTAATGGCTGTAGTTGACGTATTTTAATTTTAGGACATGAATATAAGCCATCATGCATTTTATCCGCCTTACGTTGCAACGATTTCAGTTCATTATCGACATACTCCGTTTCCATTTCTAAACGTTTTAAACGCTCCGATAGAATGGTCTTAGACCAGGTCAATTGATTTTGTATTTCAACACGTTCCAAAACAGATTTAATGGTATTGTGTAATTCCGCCTCTATCAGGAATAAATCATTTTGTGAAAATGTCGACTGACTTGGTTCTAAATCTTTATTGGATGCGGAGGCATCTTCCTCATCACTGCTGTCGATAATTTCCACAAATTCTTGACGACCACTTGGTATGTTTTGTAGTAGCAATGGTTGTTTGGCACTGATCAAACCACAGTATTCCTAAAAAGAAATAATATTTGTCGTAATAAATTTTAAATATTTCTAATGGACCTACATACCTCATACATATCCAATGCCTTATCATAGCAATCGGCACAGATGTATTGCAACTTAAATTTCTTTTTGTTAACCTTGAAGAAACTAAAGGCAAATTGTGGTACCCTAAAATACTGTTTATGCTTGTGGGGACATTCATAGTTGATACATTCCTTGTTGTAGAAGACTTCATCTGTGGTGTCTTCATTGACATCTTCTTCAGAGGCTTTCTTTTCCGCTTCCTCTTCTTTTTGGATTTCTTCCAGAGATTTTTCAGTAACAACTGACAAAAGATTATCTACGTCTTCCTTCGTTTCAGATGCCTCCTTGTTGGTTTCATTGATTACCTTAACCGTGTCGTCATCATCAGTTTCCATAGGTTTAACTTCATTTGTATTTTGTGCTTTTGATTCCGTCTCGTCTTCGTCTTCATCATCTATTTCTATGACCGGCATAGGTGGCTGTTCAATCGTTATAACATCATCATCATGACTTTCGGATGTTTTGTTTGGAGATTTTTCCTTTTCATTATCGTCATCCTTTGCTGATTCTTCAATTGTACCATCAATGGTTAAAATTTTCTTTGTTAAACTTTCATCATTTCCTCCTTCATCCATTTCTTCTTTGTCTTCGGTATTTTCTGTCAATTCTGAGGTTTCATCTATAACTAAATTTGTAGATTCTTGAGATTCACATGTATCCATATTTTCACTAGGATCCATGGTTACATCCTCCTCCATGGGGTCATCTTTGTTTGGGGCAGTTGCTAATGTGTCCACGCTTTGAGTATCAAGTGATTTGTCTTGCAAATCTTTGTGCTTTTCATTGTCGGTTGCAAGGGAGCTAACGTCTGCTTGCTGGATAGTATCCATTTCCAAGGCAGCATCATCGTTTATAGTAACTGATTGTGCTGTACTTTTTTCCATAACATCATCTATAGATTGTGAAGCTGGCGGAATGCTGGTCTTCTCTGAAACATCAGTTGTAATTTCTTCCGCCGGTGTTGTAACATTTTCAACTCCTTCATTTGTGGTAGCAGATGTTTCTTCGGGTTTTGCCGTATCAGCACTAAGAACGGTCTCAAGCTCTTTAGACTCACCCTTTTCCTCTCCTCCTAATGTTGGGGTTTCCAAACCCTTATCTTGGACCACAATATCGTTTGAAATGCTTTTAATTGCCTCGGAACTCGGATTTTCTAAATCTACTGCTTCCGGCAACTCGACATCTTTTGGCTGTAACTGTTCCTCTTCCACTGGTTTTTCCACTGTGGCTTTGCTATCAGTTGTTTCCTTTTCTTTATCCTTCAAACCCTCTGCTTCAGTGTTTAAATCGATTTTTTCATCTAAATTCTCATTTAGTGTCTCCTTTTCAACTGGTTGGGTATCCTTTGCGGTTTCCTTTTCCAACAACGTTTCTGTGGAAACACCCGGCTTTTCTTCATTACTTTTTTCGGGTGAATCCAATTCAATTGGCGGAACCTCCTTCATTTCACTATCTATAGCTTGCTCAGACATATTTAAAAGCTTTATTCAATGTTTAAACACTTTTGAATGTAAATATTTTTTAAATATTTGCATTAATTCGATGAGAAAAATTGCGAAAACAGCGTCTCAAAACTTGGTATACACCGTGACATCGAATGGACGGCACGCCATTTAACCGCACCAAATTAAAAACGTTCCATATGCTACGAATGGCGGGAGGCAAGAGAAACTGAGTGATAAAATACTAGAACAAAGCAAAATTATGAAAAAACTAAATTGTTTACGAATGAGTGTGATGCAGAACGGTCAATATGTGTGCAAGAGAGACATGGAAGAAGTGGCATCATTTTGATTCAAAAAAATGAACGACGTGAACTTTAAAGAAATATGAAGTCAGAGATGCCATATTTTTAGTTCAATACAATTATTCACGGAACTGAGCATAGAAAGTATTGGTTGATTATTTGTTCAAAACTCGATTTATACATCTCTTATGCACATGTTTGCTTATTGTTTACATCGCCTTTAATCCAACTGAAACCATGAGCAGCGACGAAGTAGTTGATCCCTTGCCCAATATTTTAATAACTGGTAAAATTTATTCAAAATTATTTTCTAAAATAAAAACTAAAAATACAATTTAACTTCCAGGCACTCCCGGTGTTGGTAAATCCTACCTCTGTCAAAAACTCCAGGAACAACTGAAGTTCAAATGGTTGGATTGTTCCAAAATCGCCAAAGAGAACGACTTCATTGAAGAATACGATGAGGAATATGAATGCCCCATTTTGGATGAGGACAAACTTATGGACTATATGGAACCCTTAATGCAAAAGGGTGGAAATATTGTTGAATATCATGGTTGTGATTTCTTTCCCGAACGTTGGTTTAGTGCAGTCTTTGTAGTAACATGTCCAAATAATACCGTTCTGTATGATCGCCTTAAGGACAGGAATTACAATGACAAAAAACTGAAGTCGAATATTGAATGTGAAATATTCGGTACAATATTGGAAGAAGCGAAAGATTCATATAAATCCGATATTGTATTCGAGTTGAAGGGTGAAACGAAGCAGGATGCTGAACAAAGTTTAAAAACTATTAAAAATTGGTATAAAGCATGGAAAAGGAAATAAATGTTGAATTATGAAAAAAAAAATAAAATAATGTGTTTAACTGGTAGATATTCTTTATGGGAGTAAATGCCTTGTCCGCCTCTTGCAATCTCCATAAGATAGAGTTTTGAATCCCAGTCTGTTGTTTTTATAACCCTTTGACCTTACCCCTTAGCGGACAATGCCATACTTTCCCCACTAATAAATAGTTGTCCTTTTTTATAAAAATATTAATGTTTATTATTATAATATGGTTCCTATATAAATAATCAGCCTTATTCTAGATGTCAATTCCATGTGAATTTACTCGCTCTTTCCCTTCGCCTTATTCTGAACAACATTTTCCAGTGAATTTTTTCGCATTCTCGCTTTCGCCTTATTCTGAATGAAGTTCGAAAGCGAAAAAATCCGCTTTGGCGAAAAATTAGGTATTCTGAATTACAGATGAGATGAAATTTTGTGCGAAATTTTTCGCTAATAAATTTAAGGGGAGTTGACTACAAAAACATAAGTAATAACTATTTTTATGAAAAATATTTACACAATACTTATTCTATGACGATTTAGAATATTATAAATGATAGTAAGCAAATTTTAAACTGGAAAACAGCCAATAAAATGCCATTGGAAATCCTATTGATAACGATGCATGCTGCCAAAGAATGTATGAAGGTAATAAGGAATATTTAAGTCGAGTTTGATGCATTTTGGAGGCGAAATACAGACATTTGTGTGAGGATCTGTCTGTCAAGAAAAAAATTTTAAAAATTATGGAAAAACCAAATTTGCCTGATGAGCCGCTTAAGAGTGAAAAACTGATATAAAAATTATGAAAGAACAAAAAATATTTTTTTTTTCAGAATTATCGTGTGCATGATTTGAAGGAAGAAATAAAGGAGTAGGAGCAAATCATAACATAACTGACCACTTTAAGAATTTGGGGAGATAAAATATCAAAATTAAATAAAAAGGCACACAATTATGTAGTGAAATAATAAACTGTGAATTAATTAATTAAATCGCAGATTTCTTCCTATTATTCGTTGTGTTTTTGCCATCATAAAAAAAATGTTCTTTTATTTGTAATCTATTGTAGTTGTTGCAACAAATTGCATCAAAACAATGAACAGCTGTTTTACATGCCATATTGTAGGTTGCCATATTTTCAAACTTTAATTTATTTTCTTTTAATTACAAAGCATTTATACAGCGGATTCTTGATATTTCACATTTGTATTGCTATAAAGTTTAAATAACAATAAAAAGTAACAATTTTTAATAACAAAAATCAATAAATAATATATTGAAAAATATTACACAATTAAATTACAATGGGGCAACACACATTGCAACTTAAATTACAATATGGCCACACACAGCGCAACTTAATTTACGATATGGCAACACGAACATTTTTTTCAACCACCATTTTCGAAAACTCGAATCTGCATCTCGCATTTTTTGCGTCTCCCTATTCATTCAGAATAAGGCGAGAATGTGAAAGCGAAAAATTTTTTATATGCGAGATATCTCCCAGCGAATATCCAGAATAAGGCTGAATATATATACACATGTGGTAATTAAATTAAAAATAAAATTTAAATACAACTAATACTTGGTCATTTTAAATTTCAATGGACCATCGGGAGCATACATAAATGTGACAGCATATTCCAAGGGTTCATGTTCATATTCCAATTTGTATGAACGTAATAGTTTTGCCAGTAGAATTTGCATTTCTAAATCGGCAAAACGACGACCCAAACACATACGGGCACCATAGCCGTATGGCAGTGACGCGAATGGATGTAGTTTACCCTCAAAACCACCTTGACTGGGTTTTAGCCAACGTTCCGGTTTAAATGAGGCAGCATCTGTGACATATTTTTCCATATTTCCCGTTACAATTGTGGGGAATACTGCTTGGACACCCTTTGGTACCCGATAACCACTGATAACTGTATCTTCTTGCAATGTCCTACCATTTCCAATGACTGTACTATACATTCGGAAAACTTCCTTAATGAAAGCCTTTAAGTAGTGCATTTGGTCGAGTAGAGGTAATGTAAGTGGTGTCTTAGGATCGGGCATCAATCGTTTTAATTCTTGGTGGACTTTTTCCTGTTGTTCTGGTCGTGTTGCCAATTGATATAACATTGAACATACGGCCATGGAAATCTAAAACAAAAATTATAATAATTTAATTATTCTTTGGATATTAATAAATACGTGGGACCACAGTTTTAAATCCAATAGGCCTCCATAACTTTTCTAACTTACCGTATCTATACCGACTAGAATTAAATCCAAAGCCATAATTGTGGCAATTTTTTCATCCTTCTGTGCTAATATAACTTTCTCCAGTAGAGAAGGTTCTCCGTGCTTGCAGGGTCCTTCAACCTTTAGTCGTTCAGTGGCTGATTTGATATATTTCATGCAGACTCTAAAAAAATAAAGAGGAAAATAAATATATTATTATTATTATTATTATTTATTTTCAAAGACTTGTTACCAGGCTATCTAGCCCATTTTGTATTGGTACAAGCAATCTACACAACATTGATTCTTATGACAAATAATATAATAATTAAATCTTAATAATTAAAATTAAACCTAAAAATTAAAATTAATATCCCAATTACGCAAATAAAAACATATATATGCTTCACGAAAAGTAAACCTGATTCGTACTACTATAATAGCGTCCTCTCTTAAGAACACTTATTATCAGTTAATTGAAACCGATAAAAGTATATATATTTAAGAAAGGACAACATACAAAACATATTATTGTCTTATACAATACTTACAGTTATGTAAATATTAAAAAGCATAATATGTATTAAAGAGTTAAATAATGATCCAGAAGTTTTTTTTTATAACTTTTAGTACATAACGAAAAAGACTTTAATGAAGAAGGTAAACAATTATAAAGACGCGCAACTCTGACATGAAATGCTTGACTTAAGTAGGGGGATAGGCGTGGAATTATGATCTGTGGGTTTCTAACAGATCTTCCAAAACTGAATAATTTGCACACAAATTCAGGTTTCATACATTTTTGTGTTCTATAAAAATGTAACAGCAATCTAATATTAATATAAGTGAAAAAAGAACACCCTAAAAACTGGATAATATACCCGGACAAGTGTTGTCGACCTTTAACAGAATATATGAACCGTACAACACTATTCAACACCCCACGTAACTTTCTCATGACAATACCTACTGTCCCAGAGTATACTTCTATGCAATACAAAATCACTGGCATAATAATAGCATAGACAACTTTAGTTTTAATATGTAATGGAAGTGATAAATTTAGATTGTAAAGCTTTCGCAGACTAAGATAAACCTTTGAAATAATTGAATTTATGTGAGCGGAAAAAGACAGTTTGTCATCCAGAACTACACCAAGGCAATTTAAGTTGTTCACAACCTCAACCGGCATATTATACAATGAGATTGTAATAAAATCATTTTTAAAATTTCCAAATAGCATGGATTTAGTTTTACTGGTATATATATACAACGAAAGAAAACCTCCATCATGAGGTAGGTATTCAAAATATATCAAATAATGAAGGTTCTATATATGACATCTTACTCCACAAAGAAATTCATATTTTTCACATAGTGGGTCCACAACGGTGTCGGGATATAACGCCAATAGGGTGCCTTCAATTCCAATGTGGCCACATTACGCAATGCATATTTAGCTGCATTAATAATTTGTTGAGGTTCCGAGTCTGGGGATAAATCTGATTCTAAACAACCCAAACGTGCGTCCAAGGCAACACGACCAATACCTATTAAAAAAAAACAAATTTTTTAATACATTTTCCAAAAAGAAATATCAAAAAAAAATGAAAACCCACATTCTAAGGACCACTTGTGAATTTCGTTATCAAAATCTTCGGGTAATTCGGAATTTTCATCGAGCAGAGTTTCACAGCGCTTTAAGAAATCATCTGTTACAACTTCCAAGGGTTGTAAATAGCGGCGAACTGTTGATAGTTGCAGTACAGGCTTTTGTACTTTTGAACGGAATTCACGCCATGGTTCACCGTGACTGAAAATAAAGGGGAGATATAAAAAAAATATAATTTCAAATAATTTTAGTTAACTTTCCAAATTGTTTTTAAAGAAAACTGAGATTATGAATGAGAAAGGAGAAAATGTGAGTAATAAACGCTGAGTTTATAGATGAAAAATGAGAGTAATATAAGTATTTATGAACTTCATTTTCCTGCACAAAACTCAATTTTCTGTCAACAACATTTTTGAGGTCTTCAACTTACACTCCCACAACACCACCCAATTCACCAAAGAAATCTTTGCGCACCACACTTTTATATTTCACCAAACTGGGCATAGATGGACGGAATGGAGTTGTACCCTCGGTACGATAACACTGAAAGTGAGAAGAATGGAAGGAAATTTTAGTTTAATTTGGAAAATGATTTTTTTTAAAACAATTGTCTTACCTTTTCAATTTCATCGACATCATATATAAATAGTAAATCTGGTCTTCCAATTAGGCCACTAAATTTAACAATTTGTCCATATTGTTCGTAAAGTTGTGATGAAATTTTGGCTACATCGCCAATGGTATATTGGCCAATGATGGGCATCATTCTGAAAAGGAAAATTGAAAATTAGATTATTTTCGGAATAAAAAATAAGTACTTGTAATAAACTATATAGAAAACTATTCGGCCGGGTTGGAATTTATTCCGCCAGTCTACATTAAAAGCCTTATTACGTGATGGACTGACTGAATAGAGTTTTTCCTGTAGTAAACCTGAAACCGGGCTTAATAAAGTTTTTCTTATAGAAACCTTTTTTTCAGCCGGGCTGAATACAGTTCCTTCTATAGTAAATATTATTCAGCCGGGCTGAATAAATTTTTATCTATAGGAAAACTTATTCATCTGGGCTAAATTAAGTTTTTTTCTATAGCTAACCTTATTCAACAGGGAAACCTCATTCAGACGGGCTATATACAGTTCCTTCTATAGGAGACCTTATTCAGTCGGTCTGAATGGAGTTTTTTCAATAGGGAAAAAGGAACGACAAGGTTTGAAAAAGAAAAGACCTAGGGGTGGGTGGCAGTATCAAATCGTGTACCTATATACCTCAAAGCTCACGGAAGCTCAGGGAATAGTAGCAACCTTTGTGCGATCTCAATTGTAATGTCATCAGTTTCGGTCGGTAAGACAGGCAGATATGGTTAACATTTAAAATGTCATTCTGATTAAAAATATGAATGACAAATTGAATATACACACCATATAGTAGATGTCATTAAAAATGTAGATCTTACTTTTATGGCCATTAAAAACTTAAGTAATTTTGGGATCCGATCAATAAAGTTTTATAATCGGTCTTGCCGTTGAGCAACTACAAAAATTCCCATCCTCTGCTATTCCATAAGATTTATTAATCTTAAAAGATATCGAAGGTTATTTTGCGTAGCTAAGGTGTGGTCATCGTATGGCATTTTTGGCTTAGATGACACTTGAAGCGTAAACGTAAATATCAACAGACCGTAGAATTATTGAATTTATAGAAATATTTGGATATTTCCAAAGGTTATTTTAATTCACAACTACTTCATATATTAGAGAAATGTGCAGATGTGATTGAATGAGAACATTTTATCTGTGTGTGGAGGGTGGTTCGGGGTTCCTCATTCCCCGAAAATACACAATAGTGAACTCAAAAACAATTTTGCGTATTTGTTAATTAGAATAGATTTTTAGAATATAAATGTTAATATATGTATAAAATCGAAAGTGTTAATTCTAAGGTACACATTGAACTCTAATTCTAAAGAGATGGAAAACGAAATTTGGTATTTGGCATATACCTTAAGTTGTTTATCACTATGTATAATGGGGAAACGGAAGCTATTACTCTATTTCGTGTTATATTGCATTATTTAGGTTGTTTTTGGTTATTATTAATGTAAAAATCATAAACAAAAAAATAATAAATAAATAAAATACAAAATAAGCTTGTCACACATTAATTGATAATTATTATATCGATCTATATCATGACAGAGCTACTCAACATCAATTAATATTGTTGATAGATTTTGTTTTGATTTTGTTGGCCCCGTCAATATTTTGTTTCCATCCTTCTTTTGTTGTTATTTTTCATGATTTTGTTTTTTGCACATATTTATTGTATCTGTATGTAGTTAGTGTCAATAAGGTGCTAATTAAATTGATTAGTCATAGACATACAGCGAACAAGCACAACTTAACATTAACTTCTCATGTTAACCGTCGCATCATCGATAGGTAGTAACAACATGATTGTCAAACAATTAACACATTTATTCAAGGTCATGGTTAAATGTCCAGCAACCCCATAAGGTAGCAGCAGCGTTACACTATTCCCTCCCAGAAAAAAAATAAAGAGATGATCTGCCGAAAGACATAAATTGACAAATCATTATCAGACATTTTGTGACCATTTAAACTAATTTGTTATTAATATATACAAATATTGATTTGAATACAATGTTGACATTTTATGCATTTATTTTCTTCATTCATCTGCATAAATACAGTGGACCAATGTTAAAATGATGAGACTGGTCAGATGACAAATTAGGGTATTATGGATTGTATTCTCTTAAAATAAATTGTCATGTAAGAAAACAGCTGACATGAAATATGTGTTCGTTAAACATGGAAATTTACCAATTACGAGAAAAAAATAATATTTTTAATAATTTATTTTCCAAAAACTTTAACAGTACATTGTCTTATTACTTTTTTAAGTATTTTAACAAAAAAGAGACTAAAATGATAGAGTATATTTTTCTGAAATTAAAAACAAAACGTTTTAATTTGTCGTTTATAGTCGGAAGACGAAAAACGTCATTATCGATAGTAATTTTGTCACTTACTTGCTATCTGTATGATCCAATCATCTGTCGTGGCATTTTTTTTATTCAAATGTCCATTATATCAAATAGTTTTGAGGTAGAAAATACCGAAATGAATTGAAATTACTTCATTATAGCAATTAATATTCGTGTCATGTGTGATATTCACAGTTGACCAATAAATATGCCATGACTTTGTTTGAGTGGTATTCAGAAACAAATTGTGCTGGATTTTTATAAAAAATAAACATTTTATTTGAAAAATTTAAGTGAAAAGTTGGAATTATAAGGATGACATACTTTTAATTGTGGAATATGCGCGCTATTCATTTTAAATACAACCCACTGTGTTGTCGATTATGGATTGGTCCTATTATATGCTACAGTTATATGACGTTTTGCCAAAAAGTGTAGAGAAATATTGAACTTTTATCCTATAGCTTTGTTGTATATCATACATCTCATTTATGCTCTTTAGATTTTTAATATTTGATACAATTTTGATAGTCGCTTACAACTGGGACATGTTCGAAATTTTCCTTTGATTTAGTAATTATGACGTGGAAATCACAGCTTTTCATTCAGAATGGTAGCTGTTCCATGATGCCAAGATATGTACCAGTACAAATAAGTAAAAACTTCGCAATGCTCGACCGGGTAAAACTTTTTATAATACCCAAAATGAGAAGTATTTATTATATGGGAGCATCAACTAAACGTTAGCCGATTTACCCAATTTTCAACATTGATCTGCGAAAAAAATACACTTGGTAACAAATTTTCTATTCTCGGACATCGGCATTGTCAGACGTATCGAGCTGCAACGACTACAACTTGGCTAGGTCATATTGTGAGAATGAATGAGGATGCCCCAGCACAAGAGGCATATAGAAGAGAACCAGCTGATGGTTTTCGCAGAAGGGGACGAATTAGATGGAAAGTTCAAATGGAAGACAACATAGCTGAACATGGTCTTTTTTAAGCTCGGCTTATGGAACGTAATTTCTGCCACAAGCCAGCTAAGAAAGTAAGTAACAAATTTTCTGTAATCTATCACAATTCTTTTTGTGGGTGGTATAAAAGGCAAATATTCGGCGGAGCCTATTTTATAATATTCTAAGCAAACTTTGGGTGTATGTAAAATATGATTTTAAAATTCACACTTATGAACCCATTTATAAATAAACACACATTATTTTTACACTCGATAGAACATTATTTACAAGTGGACTAGCGGAACCTCATTTGTATAAAATTGGAAATGTTATGTAGTAATGTTGCTAGACGTTTGACTTTGCTCTAAGAAGCATTTTGGGGACTTTAACAAAAAAAGAGTTTTATTCGCCAGTTATTGGGGGTTGTGTCAAACCATTAACACATCTCGGTGGTGAAACTTTCAAAATATAAAAAACGGGATGGGGGATCTATGGGAGCTAGATGTGTTAGAAATTTTCTGTAAATATGTTGTTTATACTTCAGATCCCGAAATGTCAAATTGCAGCCCTTTTTGTTGGAACATTTTTTCGGAAACCTTCAAAATACTGAAAATGGTTCGGGATCGTTATAGGGGGACAATTTCAAAAACGTTCGCCCTCCAAGAACCATAATTTTGCCCCGAAATGTGGCAGGAAATACATCTAAAATCTTCAAAATATCGAAAGTGGGATGGGATCGTCATATGAGAACTGTGTCAAAACATCGACCTATATTGCAAATGTTCTGTAGAGTTGTTATCGCACTCCGAAACCCAGGAATATCAAATTAAATATACCCTCAAAATACCGAAAATTGTTCTGAACCTATATGGAGCTACATTGATAATAATGTGTGAATATTTATCTTCAAAAAACTCAAAAAAATGTTTTTATATCCTCAGCCTTATAGCTAATAACCCTTTGATACGGCAAAAATATGTTTCATAGAAATATTGGTTTTAGACCTCATGTTTCTTTGAACAAAATCTGTTTCCGAAAATTTGGACCCATCGACCTTATTCAACTGGTGTTAATTCAATATAAAACGAATGGAATGCCCAATGTCCAAACCTATATCATGTCCGAAGATGGGACCCATCGATCCACTTCTTCTGATACCTCCCTCACAAACAATCAAACATATATTTTTATAGAGCAACTTCTTCTGGTATACCTTATATAAAGCGAGAGAGTTGTAATTCCGTCGAGCTTCTTAAATTTTACATGTGTACCATTATCAGGTGTGAGCTGTGTTTTGGGAAAGTTACGGATTTTTTAATCTGTTCTCAAATTTATTTAAATTAACTCAATTCATAAATTTGATACAAGCTTAAATCAAAAATCTATGATTTATAAAACATCTGCAACTTTCTCCGCAAATATTTTACATAATAGCTTACAACAAACCACCATCAAACTAATGTGCAAAAAGGGGCGTGCCGGAATAAATAATAACCTGGGTGACACTATGGTAAAAGTTTGCTAGGGAGAGTTACAAATAAAAGGCGAATATGACTTAGACTTTTACTCTGATCAGGAATATAAAGACTTTGTCGGTTTTCATCAGAGAATTTCGAGGTGTTGCAAATAGAGTGACAAATGTAATAGCCACTCCACGTTATATTATATATAAAAATAACCACTTTGTTTCTCTATTGGTCCATTTAATCTTTTTTTGCTCCGTAAGTTTTTTATAAGTTTTGCCAGATTTTCTGTACAGGAATCTGTACTGCTTCTATTTCTGTAAAGCTTACATTGTT